CATTGTCAAGATCGGTGGATTAACGTATGTCATCCTCTTTCTGGTCGACGAGGCAACTTCCTACATACAACGTACCCGTATTCGACACACGTGGTTATCGACCTCTCTGTTGCTGACAAGTATATACGTAATCAACGCAGGATAGGACGCGCACACATTCAACACCGTGACGTATCAGAGTGGGTGAAAAGTGCTGGATTGACACTAAGTGTACGTCCCCATCACACCTCACCCTTCCTCTCTTCCCTCAGCGCATTCCTTACAATAGCACCGCACATCTTCGCATACGGATTCGTCCTTACACTCATCTCCCTCGCCACCTCATCTCCATACCGCGCCGCCGCCGCAAAATCCCTGCTCGCCAGCTCCTCCAAATCGCTCTTCCCCCGGCCATCAAGCTCAGTCTCTGTTTCCACAGCCTTGAGATACAGATACGCACGATGCGAATATGCTGTTCTTAGGATGCGCGCTGCGTATGTCGACACGGGCGCTGTTGGCGATGAGGCGGGTAAAGAGAGATGAATCGCGCGCGCAAGGTCTGTGAATACGTCTTCGATATCTTGTTTTGGTGATGCGAAGATGGTTTTTCCGTCATGTAATGCTGCTTCTAGTCTCATTCTGCGGAGCATTGCGCGGTTGACGTAGGCACTGGCGTAGTTTGGCCACGCGGTTATTGTGCCGTTTAGGTGGTCGATGGCGTCGTCGATTGCGGTGACGTCTGAGTTGCTGGAGACGTTGCGTACGATGTCGTTTTGTTGCGCTTCGAGGGTTGATAGTTGTGAGGATGGTATACTGGGGTGAGCGGGTAAGGAAGAATCGATTGCTGCGGTGTCTCTTGACTTTGCTACTGATGATGGAAGGGTTTCTGGGTCGAAGAGCGCGTTCAGGATGCGTGCGTCGTTTGCCGATAGAGTGGTATTGGGAACATCGATCGCCATGGTGAACAAAGGAGCTGTGAGATAGTCTTGTGGTGGTTAAGATTTGGTTCAGGATTTCGTATTACAGTCGACGTTAACTTGGTAGCAGAGTTGTTAGTCCTGCGAGAGTGATTTCCTTGCACTACTTCTAATCCCGACTATCACATGTTTGACTTGAGCATGGCTGCGGATGTACTATCATGGCCACTCGGCTCAACGCCCCAAGGCGGCTTTCAACGGCAAACTACCCGCTTCCGCCGACGGTACCACAACGCGACGTAGCAAGCAACTACATACATGCGCACAACACTCTGCTAGTTACGCAGCCTCGCTGCGGGAAGTAACAACAAAACTCCACAAGCCACTCAGCTTGCAAAGGGCCGATTTGAGCGTCTGCTGTACGCTTGCTCCTGGTGTTTGCGCGCAACCGCGACGGATACCAGCGGTCCGTTCATTGGCGGACAGCGCCGGACAAAGGCACATTGCTTCTGCGACACCATCACGTGAGCTCGGCATAACCGCTTGATGACGCTACTTTTGGACGAACGTGTGGGAGTTGCTTAGTGAGAGCTATCGGTACACCGGTTCGTCAAGGGAAGTGGATGCAGCATAGACCATGCGGTGAAAGATAAGAATGGGTACAACTTCGATGCGCATAGTTTGGGCCTTTTACTTTACATACACCCAAATTACAGACTGAGTTCTCTCGAATACTTACTTGGAGCTTTTTCAACTGAACCACTGCATTGTTTTTTGAGAAATTGCTTCTTTCTCGATATTGGTAATTCATCATGGCGCCTGCTGCTATCTCGCCCCCTTCATCACCCCGCCCGTCAGATGCATCATCAACAGATGTTGCGGCATACCAGGGATACCATCATGTACACTGGTATGTCGGGAACGCCAAACAAGCTGCCTCTTTCTACGTGTCGCGGATGGGCTTTGAGCGCGTCGCATACCGTGGATTGGAGACTGGATCGAGAGCCACAGCATCCCACGTCGTCCGGAACGGCAACGTCACATTCGTCCTCACATCGCCACTGAGGTGTTTAGAACAAGGCTCGCGGTTCAGCAATGAGGATGAGAAGTTACTAAAGGAGATACACGCACACCAAGAACGACATGGTGATGCTGTCAAGGGTAGGTCTAGAGCACTGAACAATGACAAAGGACAAAGCTGACTTACATACTCAGACGTCGCATTCGAAGTCGACAACGTAGACGCCATATACTCAGCAGCCGTTTCCTCAGGCGCCTCCGCCATCAGCGCACCGCACAACATCTCCGACGCACATGGCACCGTCCGCCTCGCCACAATCCGCACTTACGGCGACACAACACACACGCTGATCCAAAAGAACAACTACTCCGGCATCTTCCTGCCTGGCTACCGTCCCGAATCCAACGCTGCCGACCCGCTCCAAAAGTACCTACCACGCGTCACCCTCGAAGCCATCGACCACTGCGTCGGCAATCAAGACTGGGACGAGATGGAGAATGCATGCGAGTACTACGAAAAAGTGCTTGGCTTCCACCGCTTCTGGAGCGTAGACGACAAGGACATTTGCACAGAGTACTCTGCGCTCAAGAGTATCGTCATGAGCTCACCCAACGACGTGGTCAAGATGCCCATCAATGAGCCTGCAAAGGGCAAGAAGCAGAGCCAGATTGAGGAGTATGTCGACTTTTATGGTGGCCCTGGTGTGCAGCATATTGCGCTGCGCACTACAAATATCATCCATGCTATTACCAACCTCAAGGCGAGGGGTGTGGAGTTTATCAAGGTTCCGGAGACGTACTATGATTCGATGAAGCTGCGGCTCAAGAAGGCGGGTATGACACTCAACGAGGACTTTGAAGTGTTGAAGAGCTTGGATATCTTGATTGACTTCGATGAGGGTGGCTATCTGCTGCAGCTCTTTACCAAGCATCTAATGGATCGACCGACGGTGTTTGTCGAGATCATCCAGAGGAACAACTTCGATGGGTTTGGCGCCGGTAACTTCAAGAGCCTGTTTGAGGCGATTGAGAGGGAGCAGGATCTCAGGGGAAACTTGGTCTAAAGCACTTATGATTTCATCTTTCAGCATTGTTTGGCGTTTCAAGCAAGTCAATGGTAGTCGTCGAGCGACATGATCAAGCATCAATACATTAGTCCATCTCTTCATAAGCCAAGAAACATTTCCCCTTTTTTTTTCCAAATCTGCGCTGATAATAACAATGTAGTGCGACATGCATCCTACATGGGCAGACTCCAAATGAAATCCAAGGTTCCGTCATCAAACCCCTGGAAGCTCTGCTGCCCACTATCAAGGCCGAAAGGCGCCATTGCCGGATCAAAAGGCAGCGCAAGCCAATCATCCTCTGGCATAAGATTTGATACGTTTTCCGCAAGCGATGACAGGCTGGATTGACCGGCGTTGTGGTTGTTCAAAAAGTCCATGCCTGTCGTTCCACCTTTAAGGTCAGCGGACGTGGCACGAGATGGAAGGCGTGGAGGACGTGAGGAGACGACAAAGCTTTCGCGTAGACGGGCGACGTGGAGGTCGAGAAGGGTAGCATAGCGGGAGGCTAGGTGCATATCGTCGAGAGTGCCTGTACTATTAGCAAAAGAAGGCTGGGGGCGTCTAGACGTGCTTACTTGCGCGCAGTGCCCGTATGGCTGCGTCCAGGATGTCCAAAGACGACTGCAGTTTTTGGTTTCGCGACCCTAGACTTAGCCCCTTGATGAGGTAAATTGCTGATGTAGTGATGCGCAAGAAAATCCTAACTGGTGAGTAGCGAAGCGCGCCCGTTTCTGACAATTGGCAAACCTTTTGCAGTATCTGACAGCTGCCGTCAACGACTTCTTGGATAAAGTCGTAGTCTCTGGGTTCGAGATTGAAGGGAAGATTGTCCCCTTGGGGAACGTCCGGATCGGTTTCCGCAAGTGTGCGTTCGACAACAGCCTGCATACCGAGCGAGTTTGTGTATATTCGGACATACTGATATTCAATATGCAGCATATCGTGCAGTCCCACCTTGAGCTCTGAATGACGTCAGAAAGCATCACTTCAAACTTACTATGAAATGGACCACTTACTGCAAGGGTCGAGGTACTTCTTCCTCCAGGATGTCAAAAGGGGTTGGAAATGCTCCAAGAGTCCAATGTAGCGGCCGGTCCGCAGCAAACTTCTCGTTGTCGCCGAGTTAGGGTAAATGGTGTCTGAGATTGATCGCGCAAGTTTAGTAAGCTCTACCCAAGCACTCATAAAAGACTGCCACTGCTCTACAGCACCCGTTGCAGAGTCGATGGGGATCTTCTCCATCAACGCATGATTGAGGCTTTGTGGAATCATCGAAGTGCATCCAAGGCGCCATGATAGTTGTTCAAGCAGAACGTATAATAGCTTTCGGGCTCTAATCCTTCGCAGAACGAGGTATTCCGAAGTAAACTTCGGGTAAGATACCTGGTCTTTGTCAATCCGGGCATTGTCTTCGAAGAGACCCAACTCCTGTGCCAGTGAAAGTGCGCAACCCATCAACATCCAAGACATACGATCAGAGCGCTTCGCTGGCTCAATGACGTCTTCAAGCCATCGATTTGAGGTTACATCCCCCTCTAAGAGCTTTGCCCCTTCCTCGGTGGTGTTGTTTGCGCCGATCATCAGTTCACAATCCCAGCCGTCAGCAGCAGTCGGAAAGTGTAGCGCACGCGGGTGCCATTCGGATAGCAGCAGAAGTGCCTCAATTGATCCAATTGTCCGGCTCTGAGCTTTGGAAGGCTTAACCTGTCCAAGCATGATCTTCATGATAAAGCGTTGACATTGCTCCCATAACCTGTCGTGCACAAAGTAGCCCCGAGAAGCGCCCCCTACACCGGGAAGAATGTTGTATCTGGATGATATCATGAGTATAGTAGTGCAAAGAAATGGATCCAGTGCAATCAACGTGTAATGGTTCTCATGATGCGAGTAGAACTCGCCAAGAATGGGCGACAAGGGCGAACAGTTCTTGAAGAACAGATCAACATAGGTGACGGCTTCATGTGCGGAGAACCATCCCATCTGCACGAATCGACACGATGTCCACGTCTTCAGGGTCTCAGGTGAGGGTGTAGACATTTGCACGGGTTGTGCCCTGAAGGTGTGGAACGGTGACGACGGCATGCCATTGTCGTAGCCGGAAGGTCCCGATCTGGGCGTCTCATATGCTTGGGAACCCGACTGCTCCTGGCTGTCTATTGCGTCACGGTGATGCGCAGCCTCGAAGAGCAGATTCAATGCATCACTCCCGCTCGAGACAACTGTCCTCATCACCGAATGAGCTAGGTCTGGCTGGGAAGATGAGATGCGGCGCAGATGGCTGTGTGGAGACTGGTGGTATTCAGAACGGTGATTGCCGTTGACATGAGGGCTACCTCCTGGGGTGAAGCCATGTGTTGATATGGACGACCTGTGGCCTGGAGATGGCTGCACAACTGGCGCAGGGTTTGATTGAGGACGGACCGGCTCTTCCTCCTCTTCATTCTCTCTCGCCTCTCCAGGTTTGCGTCTCTTGACCCACGACCGCTCAGACCGGAAAACACATTCGCGCATCTCTCGCTTGCATCTTTGACATGGCGGCTTTAGTTCGCCGCCATCAGGACCGGTACCCAGGATGCATTTTGCCTTGCGTTGCCGACAATTGATGCATGCTTTGTACGCACGCTTGAAATCCTCTGGGTGGGTCCGCTTCTTGCTCGAGGCTGAATTGGTGTCATGTTGGCCACTGTCGACCGTAGTATCCTCTCTTCCAGACATTTCACATTACCACCAAACGGTGATACAACGGATGGCGCAGGAATGGTTCTCTAGGAACGTGGGGCGGGTAACAGCGACAAAGAGTGGAAGATGAAGGGAAATTCTCGCCCCGCCTCGGCTATCCGCGGTGCGCTGTCCCAACAACCCAACCTCTTCCGTCACGTTGCTTAGGTAATCACAGCAAACTTGCACTAACTATGTTGCCGGGCGATCACAATGTCATGCAGCATTGGAAGACGATCAGCAGGTGAGTGGGTATCTTATATGGTGAAGGCACATACCCCTTACCCATACATTTCTACTACTATTGCGTTAAAGGGACTGTGGTGAGGTAATGGGTGATGGTACTTTGGTTCGGGGACATCAATACCAAGTTGCATTTCAACCATTACCTTACGAGATATATGCCCGCATCCTCATCATACGCTGCTTTCGCCCACTTTTTTTGCTGCCTTCTTCTCGTCGATAGCCATACGCCACGACTTTCCATACAGTGCAGTGACGTACGTTGCCGCCGCACCAGCCATGAGAAATACCGCGCTAATGGTAGAGAACCATCCAACGCCAATAGCTCGAACGGCCGGTAAACAGGCTGCAGACCCTGCTGCAGCAAACATGTAACGCATGAAATAATTGCCAGCTATTTCGTTGTTAGTCACAACAATCGAATGGAAGGGAAGAGTTTTCATACCAACAACCTCTGCACTTCGGCTCTGCATGACGTCCAGGCAGTAGGTGTTCAGACTGGGGAAGCAGAACAGTTGAGCTACACCCTGTAAGAACATCATGACTACTGGCAAAGCGACTCCACCAACTTCCTTTTCTATGCTCCAACCGTAGATGATCATACAGGCTGGAATCACACCGCCAAGAAAGAAGACACAGCTTCTCAATCGGTCTTCGGAAACACGTGAGCCTCGCTTACGAATGTACTTTTTAACCACGTGATCGGCCCAGCGGCCGCCGAAAAAGGTTCCTACAAGGTATCCGCAGCCTGGAGCAATGTAGAAGAGTCCCGATTGTAGTGGTGTTTCGAGGCCGAAGCGCGGGTTTAGGACGTATCGGATGGGCGTAAGAAGGGAGTACATGTTCCAGACCAGAGAACTCGAAGCCAAGCCTGTCAAGAGAATGTTTGGGTAGCGGTACAACATGATGATGCGGAATGGATTTAACCATTGCCACATCTTATGTGCCCGTTCCTTGGCAGGCAGTCCCTCAAGCTCGTCGGCGCGCTTGTTGTGAATAGTCTCGGGCTGGAGGAAGAAGCACAACAGCGTCGCTGTTCCAGCTAGTGCTGTCTGTAGCCAGAAGATGTCGCGCCAGCTACGGAATGTAACAATGATACCACCGATGAAGGGACCCAAGGCTGGACCGATGAGGGTGCCGCTTAGAAACCATCCGAGAGCTGTTGCGCGTTCGGTCTGGGGTTTATGTTAGCCATGTTATGGAAGGCACTGGAGGGGTACCTGCTGCGAGTTGCAGTAGTCAAAGCCCATGTTCAGGCTGCGGTGTGGCAATTGAGTGCAAAGTCTGGTTTGGTATATGCACCTGTAGAACAATCAAGGGTTGATAGAGTAATACATACCGGCTTATACATGTCACCAATAACAGCTGACCCAATGACTAGGAAGGCAGTCCCTTGGAAAGCCGTAAGAATACGGAAGACGAAGAAGGCTGCTAGGTTGGGTGCAAGGGCTGTGCCAATGGAGAACGCAGTGAAGAGTGCAGCACTCATCACCGAAACCCATTTACGGCCATAGATGTTGCCATATGGTCCGTAGAAACAGGGAGAGAGTCCCATGAACAGCATGTATAACGCATTGGAGACGTTGATGATTGAGCCATCGGTGCTGTAAGTGGCTGCCACTTCAGGAACAGCAGATAACACGGTTGTTGAAGAAATCGGGGCCAAGAAGCCGCAGAAGGATACAACAGCTACCACAATCATTTTGCGGCGCTCAGAGAACCTGTTGTAGACGACATCGTTATCGCCGGTGGCGACATATTGGACATTGGCCATGTCATGGTGACTGACAGAAGAGACGGTGCGTTGCAATTGCAGACGGTCTTCTGCAGACTGTTGTGGTGGGACAATGGAAGCATACTGGGTCTGCTTTTCAGGTTCGGTGGCCATGTTGGTTTGCTGTGGGCCAACGGGTACTGAGGAGGATGTGGAAGAGGGTGCCATTTTGTGTACTCATAGAAGGCGAGCACTGCAATAAAGATGGCTGTAGACAGATAAGCCTGGAGCAACTCGAGCTGGGAGGCAAAAGCTAGTTATGGGCACTCTGAGTGTCAAGATACGAGCAAGAAGGGTTGAAAAACGTCGCCAGTGACCGAGACACAAGATATGATGGTCCTGGCCTGCATGTTGGGCTAGGCGTTGGGCTATCTTGAGGATCCTAGCGCACGATGTGGTTCATATCCGTGGGGTGGAGACGCCTTCTGGACCATAGAGAGGCTTTTCCGCGAAGACTCTGCGCCTCGAGGAGTTGGTGTATCCGAAGAGTGGAGCAGCGCGACATGGGTATCGGGACATCAAAGTCCGATCGGAGACTAGCCGCTGATATGCACCCATTGAATACTAAATTGGAAGGCTTTCATTATGTTCTTGTGCGTTGTTGTGTTCCAAGTGGTGGAAGAGTCAGTCCGGGAATAAAAGGCTGGTGTCTTGGCAGTTGGGATTTCACATGCAACGACGATCGACAGGGCAAGCGACAGTTTTCTTGGACCGGGTTCATGGGAAGGATTTGAATAGAAGTATTTACGTATAAGTTTGAATCCTGTTTCTGACCAACGTTTGTACCCTGAATGCTCTTGTAAATGACGATTCAACCTTGAATGTTGATAGTACTGATACCTGCCCGAACGCCAACCATGCATCTACGCTTTTGAACCAAAGTGACCCTCTTCCAGGCTATATGCTAAGCTTATCCACGCTCAAGCGGTCTGCGCTCCTGTGGCGCTTCACCATGCCGAGCTTGTAGAACTTTTCTTCTCCTGTTGCTGTCCGGCCGCCAATGTACCACTTCTCGGCGCCCATGGCCTCGTGGAAACCCTCTGACGAGCTGTCTGACCCTCTCCTGCTCCGCTGTGATGCACCTGGTATGGGGAAGGCTTTGGCCTTGGGTGATGTGGAGCGGTTGTATGGCGCAGCGTGCTGTCTGGTGGGTTGGAAGTGGCCCGGTGCTTGTACGGAGACAGTTGTGGCGCCGGGCGATGGCGATCGGGTCTTTGTGGTGATGGTCCGCGCCGTGGCGGCATTGTCGAGCGTCGGGTTTTGCTGCGCTGTGTTGTTCGGCGAATACGAGGCTACAGAGGCGGCTTGCGAGGTAGCTGCCTTTTGGAGGTTGGGTTGCTGGGCTCGGAAAGCGGCCAGGAAGCCGCCGAAGAAGGGCCTGTTGGTAGTCATGTTGTTGTTGTCGTCGCCGGCGTGGGCGAGGCGAAACGGTGGGCGTGACTGCTGGAATTTGTACGATGAATGCGGTCAAGTCTCTCCCAGGGTCCTCTACCAAGTCGCGGTGTAGTCGTGTAGGCTAGGGGGCTTCGCGGGTCCGCATACGCTATTTTGCGCGGCTGCTGAAAGCCTCAGACTTGACAGCGCACGCCGACTGTCTGCTGAAGCGCGATGCTGCGACTTGTGCTGTCCCAAACCCTCTCTTTCACTGGACCGGAGCAGGGTCCACTCGGATATGATAGGCTGCTGTGTTTGTTGTCGTGTATTGTGTGCGTGTGACGTAGGGTGTTGTAACTCGGTCGACGGGTCTGTGACGGGGGGGGGTGCGGGTCGACAGCGTGTGAATGCTGGCGGGGTAGGCACGACGTGGGTTTATACTAGCGACGGCGGGGGAGAGGAAGGTGCCCAGGTGTGAGATGTATGGCGCGTGGGCCGAGGGTTACTTGGAGCCGCGAACCGTGATGAATGTGCAAGTCAGGAATAAGTCGGAACCACATGATCCTGATTGGGGCACACCTTCCGAACCTTCACCGAGACCATGGAAACGACTACCCATTACTCAGACGCACCCCACTATTCACCGCGGCATAGTTGCTATCTGACCAGATGAAATTTTCTTCTGATTCTCATTCTGTTGGTGCAGCAGTCGCTCATGCCGTTCCAAGCTGCCTCCCTGCACTTGCACCTGCCCTACCCCGAATCTGACGTATTGGACGACGCTGTATGGCTGCGCAGCTGGCTAACGGCACAGATGGCAGCCAACGGATCGCACCACTACCACTACCACTACCCGCACCATGCCACCATAACCCGTTTGGCCCCAGAGAGCAAATCACAGCGCATGCCCAGTTGAGTCAGCACGAACTGCTACCCGCATCCCGGGGTAAAGGCGATGACGGATCTTCACGTCATGGTAGAACCTATGAAGCTCACCCTTATCCAACAGAACGTGGGGTAATCCGATAATCCGGCCGGGTATGCTGCGAGTCACATAGCGGCACCCGTATTCACGGCACCACGGCACCACGGCAATCGGCCTGTTCATTTGGCATGTGCAACCGGATGGATCGGCGCATGACAGCCAGAGCCTCACTACCCCTACCAAAGTTTGGACGTATCATCCAAACACATTTCTGCCTTGCTGCCTAGTGATGCCAAGTTGGGGGCCGTAAACACCAACAATATATCTTTGCTTTTTCTGCCCTTTTCATTTGCATTTCCAGTTTTACGACTCAAATGTACCTGCTGTCGAAAACTGCCGTTAATTTTCTACAATACTGAAGCGCCTATGGCGTCTTTTTCTGGACTGGCGGCCGAAGTCTTAGAGTACATCGTCACCTACCTTCCTCAACGCGACATACATGCTATATGTCAACTTGACAAGTACTTTCATGCGCTTGCCGTACCTTTGATGTACTGCAGCGTCGACCTCTCCATATCGCCCGATGGCAGACTACCCAGAATAGACCGCTTCTGCCAAAACATCGTCAATGACAGCAAGAAAGCCAAGAGGGTACACACCATCCGCATGGGTAAATCTCCTCGTCAGGCTGTTGAGGATGGGGAGACTTCGCTACCGCGTGATGAGAGTTTTGACGATCAACTCATATTCCAGAAAGCCAAGGCTATCTTGAACGATCCGATACTGGAGAAAGCTACTCAGGGGCTGCAAGAGTCTGTTGGTGAGTATGGAAATGAAGTCCGCTATGTCAGATGGGGTCGATATGTCTATGAATGTCTGTTCAGACCTAAATAGCCGTCGGGGATTTGCCTACGACTGTTGGTCTGATTGCTAACCCACATTGATTAGATAGAAAATCGACAGTACGCCGCCTACGCAGCTCTTATCCTACTGCTCATTCCATGCCTACATCGTCTAGAGGTAGCAGGGTATGATTTCAGTCCAGCGAGATATCTATACTCATCCGTAAGCGAAGTAGTACAGTTCCCTCTCGGTACTTCCAAAGAAGTTCTCAGCCATGTCGCGCAGTCTATCTTTGGCCGCTTCTCTACAGTCAAGGAAGTCTCCGTGCATTTTGACCCGGGGAGCGGAGTAGCGTACCCGAGTTCACAAGAAGATCAACATAAGTGCCTCGGAATTCTCTGGAACCTCACTTGCGTCGAAAAACTCGAATTCTCTTGGGATGAATTTGGAGTGGCCTCTTTATGGGAGCGTCCTGTAACCATCAATCCGCATCCAAACTTGCATGTAGGCCATCTCAAAGGCCTTGTCTCGCAAGCTAATTTTACTACCGTGGCGTTGCGGCACTCCGGCAGTTGGATGAATGGGATGAGTGGGCTAGGAAATTTGTTGACATACGCAGCAAGGGCACCGTCTTTGACTTGCGATCTCTTCTTCGACCACGAGAAATGGGAGAAACGTCCGATCACAAATACGTGTCGAGAAAGGTGGTATTTCGATCTGTCATTCTGGAACCGCAGTTTACAGAACGAAGAATACCTCGAGATCCTTGTCGTCAGTGCAGAGTACTGCGATAGACGAGCCCACTATTTCAATCAGCCCCGTTTTTGGAAGACGATGTGCAACAAGCGGTTTCTCACATTGGGTCATCATATACGCCTTCATACGCTTGAAGTTCCCTTTTTCTTTTTAACCGGCGACATAGATTATTCCATCAGCAAACCACTGGATCCTGACCTACCAACAAGCCTACGTCATCTCATTCTACGATCTGATCTTACACACGCACAGTTTCCGTTCCCCCTTGACGTGTCAGAACTATTCACAACTCTGTCGCTTGAAGAGCTGGAGCATGAGGCTGCGCATATGAAAAGGGCGAGAATGGACGTTTTGTACATGTTCGAGACGTCGCTCACATTCCTCGGCCAAATTGAGCATCTGGAGTCTCTCTCTGTATGGCAGCCTGCTCATAAGGGACTGCAGTGGTCTGATGAGCAGATGGAAGAATTTGCCAGTGCATGTCGGGATAAGGACGTCACGGGTAGGATCATGCTGCCGATGCTGCTGAGGACGGGAAAGACAGGAGACTGGGATCTTTGCAAAGAGATTACAGTATTTGATAGGAAGAATCCGGAGGATGGGACAAAGACCAGGCTTCTGAGAGGGGAGTGGGAAGGGAGACCAGTGGGGTTGGCAAGTCAGTATCATTTGCATGCTCTCAAGACGCATCAGGTGATGATCGAGTAATCAGAGTAGCCATGCGGCGATTTCGATATTGGAAAGACATTTGTTTCGTTTGTTCGCCTGTATGCTCAAATTGAGATGAGTTCACACTGGAATAGAGGCAGTAATAGTAATGACAGCGCCCATAAAAATCATCATATAGATCCATGTAAACACAACTTTCAAGACAAAAGAACCTATCCACTTGAAGTTATATCGTAAAGAGCCCATCACCACCTCCGCTGACACCAACCCGCAAAATCCCGACCCACGCCATTCGCCCATCCGATCCGCCGCCAAGCCTTCCCTCAACCCCAGCCAGCGCCAACATCAACATTTCCTCGCGCCGCCGCAAACCAACCCTCCGAACCGATCCCCCAAACCAACACCTAATTGCACCAAAACACCCGCAAAGATGTCGGCTCAATCTTTCGCCCACCATGCGAAGACGCCTGCTGCCGTCGTGAGTTTTACCTTTTCCCCGAGCAAAAGAGCGGCAATTGGTCGGGATACCTATTATGACGACAATGAGTGCTGACACGAGGCGGTAGAGCATGCGCAGTCCGTACAAGGCTTATAGGAGTCCTTTTGGTCCTCAGTATGTATTTTCCGACAGTCGTATGGGGGTGTGGGGGTGTGGAGGAGGGAGGAGCTGCGGTGGTGGGAAGTGGGCGGCGACGGGAGATAGCCATTGAAAGACGAGGACATGTCGCAATGATGCAGCGGGGAGAAAGAGGAGGAGGGGAAGCTTCACATACCCATATACACACACCCGAGGCCAGCGCACGAACTTTGGAAGTTGGGTGAGCTAACAGGATGATTGCAGATACACGATTCCTAAGAACTACCACGGTATCACTATGAACGTCGCAGCAAAGTAGTACGTCGCCCCCGAACTGGACAATGGCGTCATATACTCGTGTATACTAACACATTCCCAGCGGCATGCTCGCAGCCGGATTCGGCGGTGTAGCCGGCTTTTTCGCCCTCTTCTTCTTCGCAGAGGTGCCCAAGGTGCGCGACGACATCATGAAGAAGATTCCCGTCTTGGACAAGTTCTTCACCCACGAGATACCGCCCGAGGACAACCCCTTCTGAGCTCGTCTTCGTTTGCCTGGGGGAGGATTGCGTGGAATGTACAATACGGCATGGGCATATAGCGACTAGATGCGGAATAGACTTATTTTGTCTTTAACATTGGACCCGGTCATTGCGTACATGACAGAAATCAGCGTGTAATCACGGCTTCCTATGCTCGTCTTTGGTCATTGCTTCATTTTCGCGTAACTCGAACATATTGCCCGAGATGCTATAGTATCCTTGTCTATGGACTTGAGTTTAGACCATGATTCCTCATCAGACCTAGTTTGTAGGCAGCCTTCCAACAACTTCCGCCATTTCCTCATCAGTGTAAATCCTGAAGCCCTTGTCCTTGGTCACGCTTGCCAACTGCACATTCTTGCTATCCAGCTTCTCCTCCATGACCTGCTTCAATGTCTTGAGCGTGAGGACCTCGGCTTCAGGCAGAGTAAGCGACTTGTGGAACTCGTTCTGGAGCTCTGCTTGTGCACCCTCGGATCCAGAACCGATGGCTTTGGCGTCGTAGCGGTAGAAAGTACCAGAGGGCTCGGCGTGGTATCTACAATACTGTTAATCTCCGTCTTTCAGCTTATAGCATCTGAGCGCAACATACAGACTTGGGCCATCCTCGTCATAGCCCGCAATCAAGAGCGCAACACCAAAAGGCCGACTCATGATGCTCTCCTCGCCCTCGGCACCCTCACCGAACCTCAGCGCCAGATCGCATATCGCCTGGGTGCAGCTCTCGACTCGTAGTGGCTCAGCGTAGTTGAAAGCGTGGTTCTGGCTCTCGACGCGGGCATGCTCAATCATGCTTCGTGCATCAGCCTGCAGTCCAGACATGGCGCAGCCAATGTGGTGGTCGATTTCAACAATCTTCTCAACGGAGCTGGTCTCGAGCAGGGTGGAGGTTACGCGCTTCTCAACACCGAGGATTACGCCTTCGCCTGTCGCTACCTGGTGTGGTGTGAGTGTTTGGCCATGAACGTTGATACCAAATGTATTTTGCAACGTACGCCTATCGCTGTTGAACCAAGCTTAATGGCTTCTAGGGAGTATTCGACTTGGAAGAGACGGCCTTCGGGCGAGAAGGTGCTGTGTGTCTGTGAGCGAGGGCCTCTACACGGGGAGGCGACGGGTGTACGAACTTGATACCGCGGTCTAAGGTTGTTGTTAGCACTTGTCCGTATCAAAACATCATGTGGAGGGGTTTACCATATTCGCTTCGTGCTATGAACTGCTCATGTTAGTATAGAGCTCCAGCGGGGTTCGGTGAGACGCACCATGGTGGGTGTTTGTGTGGGCGGTTGATTGGAAGTCGCAAATGAGGGTTACCGAAGACGTCCGATGTGAAGGGCGCTTGATTGAACTTGTGAAGCGAGCAATGGGCTGTAGCAGAGTTGCGTTGGCGACTTGGTTCTTTCTCCAGCTTGACGGAGCTTCAAGGCAGCATGGGCCGCGATAGCGCGCTAGCGGGATGCCAAGACATCGATCTACTCCTCCAGCTCCTTCAATCCTTACTCAACTTTTGACATTTGCTCCAAGTAGTAGAAGGCAATATGTTTACTCAGCTGCATATTTTCTGTGTTACTATGTGTATTAAGAAGATACCTTTCGTATCTACCAATACATCTTGTCACAGCCTTTGCAACGATATTCTCAAATGTTGCCCAGAGACAATGAAGACTTATACGTGAGATTTTCTAGAAAATGCACTCACACAGAGAAAATTCGAGGTGATCGAATCCTGTATATTAGTATCCTGCAGGATACTTGGCCTTGGAGGGGAAAGTAAACCCTGCTATCTGGTTACTTTTGCCTTGGTTCTCTTAGGTTTTGTAGATCTCTAAAAACCAAATCTGTATGCTACACCGGTGCCGAAGCGATTCAGGTCCACGAGAGCCTGGGAGTTTACTGACTACGTCAGGGAGAACCCCCTGAATGAACGATGTGCCTCCTCGCACGACATCTCGTCCGCCTGGAATGCTGTATACACAGAAGGCTTCTTGTGAATAGTTATCACATAAATCCGTGAATAACAAAGTCCCAGGCCGGTCCATGCACGTGCTAAGCTATAGGAGTGTGGTCAATCTTAAATCGCATACTAATCTGTCCGTGAGATCCGCAGCGGAACAAAGAAATACCCCTAATGTGAGTTTCCCATCAACAATCGACACAGCCACAAAGGGCCCCCAGCTTTTGTTTGGATGTTTGCATCCTCTCATCCAGCGTGCAACATGGTGGTGGACATGGGGTTTAGCGCCGTGGAGATGCCCACGAACAAACTTGGTTCCTCCATCTCAAACATAAGCCCAAGTTTCTTTCTCCAGGTTACTTTTCAACTCATGCTTATCTGCGGCCTCGTACCGGTAGCCGGCGATACGCGTCATGGGTCGGGCCAGGCCACCCCGGCAGAGGCAACATGTCTCCTGAGTTCGGACCAGCAACGCTATCCACGTCACCAAAATTCTCGACCATGATGGACGAAGCCAGCGCGGTCAACCCGAGCCTGGAAGTGCGTGTGCATAGCCAATACTACCAAGGCGCCTTGGCTATAAGACGATAACATGTGTCGTCGGTCGACTCGTGTGAAAGGTTGCACTTGGGCCAGAAAGAAAAGCCCGACTCTCGCCCACGTGAATCTCGGCCATTCAGAAAAGAGACTATCTTTCATCATGCGGTGTGTGATGTTGCGCAGGCTCACCAGATGGGCAGGCCATGTCTAGTTACCGGGATGATGTCGATATTAGGTTATTTTTATCGCGAATACGAGGCTTGACGTCGCCATCAACCGTTGAGTATTGCTTCTCCACATGGGCCAATAGCTAGCGAAGCCGGGGCAAAAGGGTCGTTCCGCGTTTTGCCCTATCGAGCCCTGCAGGCCTACTTGGAGCTACTACATTATTGACATGCTGACGTGCTGACAACGGCAGTCAGCCCGTGTTCGACAAGTTTGAATTACTTATGCTTAGGTCGATGTGGTGTGCGAGGTTCCGCAAGCGCAACGGTGTGGGCTGCTACTGCAATCTAGAAAACCGTGCACCAGGGTCGGGATCGCCGCCGACATCCGTTCCTGCTTCTTCGAGAAAGTGAAATGGGCCGCAATTCGCTCTGACCTTGCGGCTAATGCACGTCCGATCAGACGGGCCTGGAGCGCCTCAAAGATGGCAGCCGTGCCCAGGCGCCGTCAACGTCACCGGCAGATAAATACATGCCCTGCCTCCGCTTTCCCATTCCTCGCCCACGCCCTCTTCACGACTCTATCCTACGCTTTTAATTACTATTCATATACACACCGTCTCCTTAATCAGTCAACATGCGTATCTCTTCCACCCTCTTCGCCACTACGGCTCTTCTCTCTTCGGCCAATGCTGCCATCAAGGGCTTCAACTACGGTGCCCAGTTCAACAACAACCAGGCCAAGCAGCAAGTCGACTTTGAATACGAATTCAATGCTGCCAAACAGCTCCCCGGTACCAACGGGTGGACCAGTGCTCGTCTTTACACCATGATCCAGCACGGCACCCAAAACAGCATCATCTCGGCTATCGAGGCTGCCATCAACACCAAGACTACCCTGCTCCTCGGACTGTGGTGCTCAGCTGGCCAGAACGGCGTCAATAACGAGATTACTGCTCTCAAGGCTGCCATTGCCAAGTACGGTACTAGATTCACCGACCTCGTTGTTGGTATCTCCGTCGGTAGCGAGGACCTATACCGCGTTACCCCTACCGGCATCGATAACAACTCCGGCCCCGGTGCTCAGCCCCAGGAGCTTGTCAAATACATCCAGCAGACCAGAGCCGCCATCCAGGGCACTCCTCTCCAAGGCAAGCCCATCGGCCACGTCGACACCTGGACCGTCTACGTCAACGCCTCCAACAATGCTGTTATCGATGCTGTTGACTTCATCGGCATGGACGCCTACCCCTACTTCCAGACCACCATGAACAACAACGTCGGTAGCGGCAGCCAGCTCTTCTTCGACGCCTACCACCAGACTGTTGCCGCTGCCAAGGGCAAGCCCGTCTGGGTTACCGAGACTGGATGGCCCGTTACCGGTCAGACTTTGAACCAGGGAGTGGCCAGCGCCAACAACGCCAAGATCTTCTGGGACGACGTTACCTGCCAGCTTGTTAAGGACAATGTCAACCTTTGGTACTACATCCTTCAGGATGTCCAGTACGGCAACCCAGTGCCCTCTTTCGGCATCAAGCCTGCGGGTGACCTTATGCAGGTGTCGCCCCTTTTCGACTTGTCTTGCCCCAAAGTAAGTTAGCTCGCTCTCCCATCGGACCTATGCTCCTTTCTACACAATCTTGTTCCTGCATAACACATACTCTTCCACTTACTGCCCGTTGCTCTCTGTCGTCCTGATCGCTCCGTACCTGCCCTTTGTTGGGCTGCACGGCGCGCTAATGGACAGACCAAGATCCTCGGATGCAACCAGTAAACAGTGGCAAGAGTGTTTGGTGTACAGTTGGGCACAGGTTTGTCGTGTAAGAGAGCATGGAGTACCTCTTCACATTACCAAGTGATCAATAACTAACGAGAAACAGTAAACGCGACGAATGATAATACGCATGGGTTGAACTGTTGACTTGGATGTCCTTGTATTACCACCAACACCCTTATGACTAGTTAAAAGTCCTCTGCTTCTTGTAAATAATAAATACTAATGTTTGGTCGATACACCTGAGCATGTGCATTGCTCAAGATTAGTCATGTGATTTTCATCCTCACTTCCTTCGCCCAGGCCACGTTGATACTCACTACACCTACTACCAAGCTCTAGTTTTCAAACCATCCAACATACCATGCACTTGCTACTCCCCTACTCCAGCCTCTTATCCCTACCAGCACCTATGCATCTCAAGGCTCATACGGCGGAGGCGGATCCCGCTGTGACGAATTGTCGCATTCGCATTCGACATAATTATGTGGCGGCCGTGCTTTGAGTAGGTTAAGTGTGTAGCGTAGTACGGACGGTTCTTTTGCTTTTGCCTTCTTCTTTTCTGGTGTATGGGAGGGAGGCAGAGGTTGGACTTTAGAGGTTGTCTTCTGGTGGGATTTCGGCGAGGCGGAATTTGTCATGTTGGCGTTGGGTTTGCCCCAGAGGGGGAGACTGTGGTGCGTGGGTTGGTGTGGAACTTTTGTCGGAATGTAGGAATATTCGTAGGAAGGGGGTTTTTTGGGAGGAGGTGTAGTTCCTAGGAATAAATTGATATTGATTTTGGATAGGAACAGCCGCCGCTGTTTTCAGTGTAAATATCGTCTTCGTTGTGATTTTGCAATCATACAACCCCCGCAGTACATTAAGTATGACCTTTACGTACCTGTCTCGGTGTCGCCAATAAAATCAGGATAAGAAGTTCGGAGTCCTCGTAGGTTTATCGTTATTCGGGATGCGTGCGATGTGGATACCGTACCGTAGACCGCATACCAGAACACCACTGAGAATACTTACACCACACCCAAAAGCTGATGTAATTTCTATTTCACCCGGTGCTCTCCTGCATCTTTTCATTGCTAGCAGTCGCAGTCGCTGCCACTACTCCTACCACACATGCATGTATCAAACATATACACCACACCAGCACTTACTCGTCGCTCTTTCGTTGCTACCGCATGCGGAACAAAGTCCACTCCTTTACACACAACTTTCCTTTCCCCAACACCCCAGCCCAAACCCATATTCATCGGTTTCCCAAGACATTTCAATGACGGTCCAGATCTATTAGTTCTCGCATGAAATCCAGAATCTAGACCTGGCGGAAAATCTAGCCCGCATTCTACGCAGTGAGACACCAAAGTGTAGACTTTTTGGCTGGCCACGTGGGTTATTTTTGTGTGTGGTTGTACAAGGTAGGGTAGGGCGGCGATGGTTACGAGAGCGGAGGGGAGGTGTGTGGAGATGGATCATAGATGATGGGTGCATGTATTATAGATGTATTGCGGATTTTTGGTGTAAGTACGGGCGGAGTGTTAATTGTGTTGTAGAATCGTGAATAGTAAACAGCGCCCTAAATTTAGGTTTCTTGTCGGGGATAAGGAAGGGTGCGAATGAATGCAATGGGATGTTTTGTTAATGCAATGCTACAATCCGCACTTGTGCGTGCGACGTGAACGTCTATCATACTAATTATATGGCAGTGTGAAGGTTGATAAGAAGGAAGACTTTTCTCTATTACTAAAACGATACAGAAGCGAGGATACAGTGTGGTACAATTTAGTAAATGAAAAAAAAAACCCCACATTTCTATCAACATATAAACGAATAATTCCACAGAAACAGAAGCAGAAAATCAACAAAATCCATCGCATAAACCACCCAAAAAGCGAGCGTAAAGACAGCGAGCGCACCAAACAGAACAGAACAGTCACCACAAAACCCCCCTCCTCCTCATACTACTACCACCCCCTAATTCCCACTCCTATACATCCCCCACATACGCCTCATCCTAGTAACCTGATCTTGTGTAAACCCCTCATAGCAACTATCAACACTATAATCCATATAATTATGAATTGGATCCCCACCATCCCCATTTCCGGGACAACTAACCTTATTCGGATTGATGGGGCACCCACCCGTCGCCGTACTCTCCTGGGGCGTATCATCGATATAATCACCGGGACCGGTACAACTATATCCTTCAAACGTGTGTAGCAAACCCATCCAGTGACCTGTTTCGTGGACGGCTGTCATACCGCTGTTGTAGCCGTTTAGGGTGCCCATGGGCATGGTGTGGGCGTTGATGTTGCAGCCGTCGTTTGCGTAGACGGTGGGGTCTGATTTGCCGTTTGCAATGGATGAGAGGAGCGTGCAGCGGCCGAGGACGCCGCCGCTGAGGTCGGTTTGGAAGTAAAGGTTTAGTGTATCGTAGCTGCCCTGGCGCAGGTTCTGCTTCATGGCTAGGTCATCGGCGGTGTTGGCGCCAATAGCCCATGTGTCGTTTGTGGTCCAGGTTACGTTGATAAGGTTGAATTGGATGTTGTAGGGTTTGTAGGCCGTGTTTAGGGCCGTGAGCTGCGCTGATGGCATGTCGTTTGTTATGCTGGATTTGGCGGCGCTTGTGGCTACGATGTGGAAGACTGCGTCGACGTTTATGGGGCCTGTGGCGGCGGCATCGCGGGCTGCGAGGGCTGCGCGCGCTGCAGGCGATCCAGATTGGCTCTTGTCATGGAGGGCCTGGATCTTCTTTAGAAAGTCTTCAGATGCATGCTCAGTGTTGGTGCCACAGTCAAAGGGCTTGGGGTCGCTTGCCGCGGCTAGGAGGCCAAGCGACGAAGCAAGGAGGAGTACTGAGCGCATGGTCGTGAATTGGGTGTAGTGTGGAATGTAAGTATCTGTTTTGCCAAGGATAGGTACTGTGGTATTGTGTCTGTAGTTGCCCCGCTGTCAGAATGAATGTTTTGATCCTGTTCCTGCCTTGCGCAACTTGAGGTTAAATAGACAGACTTATATCCTCCGCCAACAAGTCGGGTCTAGATTCCTGGGTTTCAGATTCTCCCATCTGGACTTGATCAATGAACTACCCAACATCTTGGACAAGGTCCACGTGTATGCATCCGGTCGTTGCATAAAACGTGTCTTGAGCACCTGTTGGTCAATAGTTCACCGGCGCCGTCAATGCAAATCTAGGTCAGCAAAGTGGAGTATTGAACGTGATAAATTGCATAATACCAAGAGAACAGACTATTCTAGTCTCGCCCTCGAACACCTAAACTCCGGGCCTCCTAAGACTTGTGATATACATACAGTACTGTGAATCCAGACTACACTTCAGAAATAGCGACAAAAAGGAGCTGACGAGGTAAGCAAGACGCTCTAGGCAATGGTCATATTCATGCGCCGCCCGCTCGACCAGTGGTCGTAGCCGTACTGGGCTGGTCGTTATTCCAGGTGAGGTAGGTGTGATCACCGAGTTTCCTGTCGCCATGTCAGCAGTGTGGTGGTATTTGAGAGTCAAATAGACTGACCTGGGCTTGATGAGATGTGCGGCGAGAAATACGGCGCCTAACAAAAGGCAGATGCCGCCCACGACAAGTACGCAATGCCGAGGAACGGGTTCTTGCCACCCATGACGGTGCGAGTCGAGATGAGGATGGACTTGGTGCCCTTGTACTTCTCAACGGGGTAGCCTAGAACAGGTCAGCTTACGTGTGCAAGATATAATCAGAATCAGCATACGGTCATAGATCTTCAGACGGTAAGTACCCTGTCGCAACACGTCATTATCATTGCGCTGGTACAGTTTGCTGAAGGTGGGCAGTCCAGCAGTCCTCATCCAGACCTGAAATTGCTCCCAAGTGTGCAGATCAGGCAGCGAATCACCATAGGTTCCATTGGGGTATTGTTCCTGCCAGTTTGGTGGAGGGACAACTTCGCTCGGTTTGTACTTTGTCTTTCCGTAAAGATCCCCCTCGTGAGCCCAAGAAGTACCCGCGACCGTCATGTTGTAGAAGTTGATTTCGTTGCCGTTTGCATCCTGCACCGCGTTGTCCAGGGTCAGCTGACCAAAAGTATCGTTGAACATGGAATTGGCAATGAGGCCACAGGGGTAGTAGGGCTTTCCATTCGGGGCCACGGCTAGGGGAGTGCAATCGCCAGAGTTGAGATCGTCGGCGGTCCGGACGTTGCCCTTCAACTGCTGGATATCGACAGACTTGACGTATCGACGATGGTTTTGATAGAAGTTTGTGAGACGGTAGTAAAAGAGGATCGGCGGCTTGATATCGTTCGGAATGTCAATGCTGAGGATGCAGACGCTGGTATCCTGGGTGACGCCCGAGGAGAAGTTGTATTGTTCCCTTGCCCAGCCCCACTGGGGCGCCGTCTTCATACTCTGGCTGAACTTGGCCGACACTCGGCTTGCAGGAATTGGCTCTAGGTCGTTTCCTTGACTCGGGTCATAGTCTAATCTTGCCTGGGGCGCCGTCGTGTTGCAGTTGGTGTAGTCGATGGAGATCTCCTGGACCTGGTAGGACAGTTAGTCGGCTACAGCCAGACACGACGTCAGGGACACGTACCTGAGCGCTAGCATACAGGAGCAGACCGCCGATGGGTGCGAATATAACTCCGACAATGAAGAACAGTGGGAGGACCGTCTTCGGAGTTAAGATGGGTCTGTTGCGCTGTTAGTCGGTGCTTCCGTCCTAAAGACTGTCCGACGTACTGCCATGCTTTCAAGCGCTGCTGTCTAAACGCGGTATCTATATGCCATTAGCATCTTCGCTATTTGCGCGCAGTCGCCTCAGGTCGCCTCACTTGGTGGCCTCCTGCTCTTCGCTTTCTTCGGCTCATCGCGGGCTGGGTCCTGGCTGGTTATCGAGTCGGCCGTGTCGCCCTGCTGTGTGCGCGACATTGTAGAAATTCCGCGCGAGTCGGCGGCGTCGTTTGTGGGCGAGTATGCAATCGTCAGTCGTTAGTCGTGAGAGGTGGTGAGAACGCGCGGTTTGAGGTTGCCCAAGCCGTCTTCCCAAATTAGTGACAGAACGGCCGCGCCACGCCCTGCAGGCCTGCGGAGCTTACTGAACACATCCCCGCTTGTCCCCGAGACCCTGATCCGGCGGCCAGCGGCGGACATGATTGCGCGGACAACCGCCACCAGGGTTTGCCATGGGGCTTCACGTTTGGATAGTTACTAAGACGGACTTTGGTGATCAGTCCTGGATGCGCATCATCTGTGCTTCGTGTTGCCCCTTGATGGCCCTTCCACTTGCACCCACTGCCCCATGGGCATCATATACCTGGGAACCGTGCAAGCGGGAGCGATCCTAATCAATGCAGCCCATACGAACATGGAATATGATAAAATAATGTATTCTGGTCTATACTACCAAAAATGAAAGAAAGCCTGCAATTGCGGCGACAAAGTCCTTGTAGGAGCGGATCTCGGAGTGTTCATTCGTGTGAGCTGGGGGGTATCGCATGCCGTTAGACAACAGAAATGGTAAAACAAACGCCGTGAAGGAAACCGAAACCTAAACCTAAATCAAACCTCGACTCCTATCCATGCCTACAACAAGAGCCTATCGATAAGAAACGCCTTTCGTCATTCATAGAGAGGACGACCATGTAGCTCATATGCTCGTGTCAGTCTTATCCAAAGAAAACGGTCCCTTGCATGGGTCCGCTAGATGCTGTGCGCAAATTGATGCATCGTAACCAAAGAGAAACAAATGCCATGTTAAGAAGAGAAAGTTGCCGTCAGCCTTGTGTGAGGCTGAGAAAGCGAGACGACTCAAAGGTACTGGCGGAAGTAGTCGGGGTTGAACCAGCCGACGCGGTCGTACGATTGCCAGAGTTTGCTGGCCTTGTTGACGTCAATCTTGCATGCCTGTTGGGCATCCGTCTTGCGGAACTCCTTGCCGATTCTCAAAGCCTCGATGCGCGCCTGGAAAATGCGGCGTTTGCTGGCGAGGTAAGTGGCGCAGTTGAGGCGGAGTGTGCCGGCGAGGTTCAGCTCAGCCTCGTGCAACAAGTCGCGATCGGGGTCGTCGGCGAGCGAGAGCGCCTGGCCCTTCCATTCAGCCTTGAGGATTTTGGCGTTGCCTTTGGGCAGCGTCTCCAGGGGTGGCGAATAATCCGGAAGCGCATTGTAGTCCGAGTCGTCGCGGTTAGTGGCTGGCCGCGCAGGCTTGGGAGAGGTCGACTTGGGCGTGGTTTCGAATGAGTCATAGACCTGTGTGGGAGGCGTACGCTTAACCTTTGGTGGTGCGCGAGGTGCGCGAGCAGGCAACCGTGGAACGGCGACCTTGGGTTGGCGGACTCGGGAGGATGGTGCGGGAGCGAGCTTCTTGAGGGCGGATGGCTTCTGTACGCCCGTGGGTTTGCCGTAGTAATTGTCGTACTTGCGCTCTTGCGCCCACCAGCCTCGTGGATCCTTGGTGGCTAGGGCGAAGACATTGGAGCGGAAGGAGACGGCCAGCTCGTAGTCTGCGCGGCTTGGCTTGCTCTGTAGTCGAGCATAGTCTTGCGAGTTCATGTGCACGGTAATTGCATCTTGCGAGGCAGAGTCAGCCGACTCCTGAGGGAACAATGGCACCTGTGCAATGGGAGCGGGAGCGTCGCGAAAGCCGAATAGCTGAGGGTCGCGTGTGCAGTGCTCTTCTGCAGACTCCATGTTCTCCTTTTGTGACTGTGTGTCGTAGGGCGAGATTGGTGGGGACGCGTAGGCGATGCGGTGTGCTGGTGCCTGTGCTTGCAGCATGGCCGTGTCCATGGAAGGCTTCAATGGAGCCGAATTGAACGAGGAGAAGGAAGAGGCAGAGAACGTGGTTGCAATTGAAGAGCCAAATGACTCGGATCGCTTCATTTCTGGGGGGGAGAGGAGCGAAGAGACGGCGAGGCGATTGCTCGGGGGTGTCTTATAGGGCGAGTTTGCCATTGCGTCGGCTGTTGGGAAAGTTTGCCCTTTTGAAAAGCTATGCGTGTTGGCGGTAGCGATGATGATTGAATGGGTGTGGGCAGCAGTTGTGAGTGGAGAGTGGAGCGTTGGTATGGCGAAGAATGGTTGTGGGTGTATGAGTGTTTGTGGTAGCGATGATGGATGACTTCGCCACACTTATATCGTCAGGTGCTGTGATGACTGTGTTGCGAACGTGACCGTGGAAACCGACCGAACAGTTGGACCAGGTTACTTATGCGGGCGTCGGAACAGTCAATTAGCAAGCAGTCGACAAGAGTTGGCAATGCGGAGATAGGACAAGGTGTACTGGGCGACCCCAATCGTCCCGAAACAGATGGGGTGGGCGGGCGAGTTATAGCTCGCAGCGGTTTCAGCAGGCTACAGCATGCGAACAAGGACTACGTGACTCTCGCTTTGAGACACACTGGCGCCCATGTGCTAGCGAACCAGACAAAGAGGGTGTGCGGTTGGCGCGTGCCAGGCCTTTGATCCTCCCACTCCCCCAGGCCGGGCATCATCAATATGGAGAGAGCGCGCCTGTTGCGCGCGGCCGGCAAGCTGACGAATGCGGGCGGCCAAGAAGTGAGTCGAAGGCAGACGAAAGGGCGCGCGGCGGCCAATTGCAATGCGACCGGTGAGGCGGACTCACTCACAATAGCAGTCAGCGAACGCGCGCGGGCTTTGATCGAGTCACTGCGCAGTGCCAGTGCCTCTCTAGACAATGCCAATGCCAATGCTTCGACCGCCCGCGATGCATCGCTTCGATCCAGCGCCAACAAGGCCTAGTGTGTCGGCGCCAGCGGTGCCCGGAGTTGCAGAGTGCAGACGTGAACTGTACCTCATCCCATGCAATTCTCGACGTCGTATACAGTACTGTACAAACCTTGGATCTCTGCCAACACGTTTCCTGCTCCCATTGCGCCCCATTGCCCTCCCATTGACCTTGCTGTTGACTGTCGGCGCGCCATTGGGCCATGCTGCCAGCAGCCAACGTGTCACAGCAGCGCCCAATGGCTGCGGGTGCCTACCTACACAGGTCCCCAATTCACAATCTCCCAAACTACTATAGTTAGTATCGAGTCACCGCATCCGTCATCCAGAGCCTGGCTGGTGGCTGGTCCTACCTACTACGCTGCCCTGGCCGCAGTCTGACCGCCGACCTGACAGATTCCACTTTCCTTTCAGTCCAGCATGGCCCATCGACGGCGTCGCCCGCCCAATTCCCACTGCCTTGCCCCAGTGGCGGACTAACTGAGGGGTCATGGCATGCATCTGACCTGACACACCGCAGTGCCCCCATCTATCCGTCGGCGGCGGGTACCGCGTACGTGCTCATCGCAATGCGTAGCCATGGTTCCCATCCGTGGTCTTGTGACGTGAATTGAGCGAACAGCCTCTACTATCAAAGCGACTGGAGTGACCGCCACTACCACTACCCCAACCCCAACTACAAGGTTCAGGGCATTTTCATGTCTTGCAGCGGGTAGAAGGCCACTGCTGCATCAATTCGTCCCACTGCTGCAGCGTGCTCCCGCAATTGCCTTCCCTTTCCCCATCATCGACCACATGGTCTGGCTGGCTGTCTTGCATGTGAAAGTGTCCGGGCTCAGGTGGACAAAACGTCCAGGTCATCTACGGCGCCATCCCTGCCTCGCTGGATGGCTCGCACACACTCTCAACACGAAGCCGCTCACGGGGCAGCTATGGCAAGACACCATCTTTGTGCTTAGTTGGGATCTTGTTTCAGACATCCCAGCTTGTGTCTTATCGTCGTTATCGTAGCTGTGGGGGAGGGGAATTGCCCTATCCAGCTTCTCCACATCCGTTGCGAGCCCAAGATGCCGATTGCACCATTGCTTTTGCGAGCGCTGCTGCCGCCCGCAATTAGCACTATTGCTATCATAACACCGACAATTGCCGATTCTGCCCAGAAGTCGTCATCTTTCTTACTATCCAAAGGGCATCGCTTCCGTCGTACCCCTCACCTCTTCAGCCGACCTGGGCGGCCCAGACCGATGCCGAAGAGGGTTTCCGCGGGCTAAGCGCTAATTGCCCTGACTCTTTGCCTGACTCGATTACACTTTGTGTGTTTCCATGGTGGCGCGATTCAAGCTTCGTCCCATCGACAACAACTCAATTGCAATTCATGTCGCAAGAGCATCAATCGCTCTCTTCGCGAGCTTGGTCCCAGACAGGCCTGGCCATGTGCAGCGCGGGTATAGCGATCTACGCGTCCAGATCCACACGCCAGCTGGTCAGCCGATAGGCCAATGCAAGCAGATGACCCTGTCGTTTGCTGCCCTGTCCTTCACCACATGCAACCCCTTGAGACCCTGCATCCGCCATGCTTGTAACCTGCCGGTCTAACAATGGGGGCCGCAGGACCTTGTTTCATGGCTTTGGGAAGAGAGACATTGGCATAGTCCTTTCATATCCACTTTGTTAATTGCGTCACCGTCAGCCGTAAGACAGGCACGCCCTGCATAACTTACTGCTCGCCTTGCCATAAGCAGGAACTTGTCAGCACTATTCGGGCTGCAAGCAACAGAAGACGGGCTTGACGGCGCGCCAGCCAACCTCGGAAAGACTGATTGCGCCAGATTCGATATGGCGAGATATGTACGGTAGAGTAGCACGGCAGAATTGCCCGGTCATGACGCATGCCATCCTTGACCTGCTGAGTACAGTAGAGTGAAGAAGACGTCGGCCCACTCGTATCCTACCACACACCTCCACAGCATTAAGATCATGAGATCAAAGTAATGCCGATGTCCAATTTGTCCTCGGGGCAACCATGTCGACATTCGACCATCACCATTCAATCGCGTGATGGCGCATCGAGTTGCACATCGATCGATTCGCGATTGCATTTCACGTGGGGGATAAGCATGCTAAGTCGGCCTTACTTTGTTAGGAAATTATCGAAACAGCATGGATTGCAGTAGAACCCACAGTCGCTGCTTCCTCAACCCTACTCGACTGTCTCCAACTACGTCATCGTCAGCGCTGGCAGAGCAACACAACATGCATGGTCATTGCAATTTGCCATGTCCTCGCCAGCTGTGCATACCCACCGCCTCTTCGTAACCCGACTGCTCAATTCCCTCCCCACAGTAACGCCGCGGTCTGGGGAAGTTACCGCCGCCGAGGAGAATCCCCTCGGTAACGTATCCGATGCGGTGAAGAAACAGCTGCTCGCCTTGCAGGTCCTTTTCCCCAACGAGTTCGTCCCAGCCTTGGATCTGCTTGACCGATGCCTTGTCACTCGACACCGCATCTGCGACTCCTCACAGCGCAATGCACATGCGAATGAGACCCAGCGAGAGGCTGCAGACATGCACATGCAAGGCACCGGGGAAGCAACCCACAGCCGTGACGCGCCTATGAGAGATGCAGAAACTCGTAACGCGCCAGCAATTCATGAGGCCTCAAACATGCACGAGGCGACGAATCATGCACTAGACACGTCCGCGCAAGACGAGGGACCGCCAGATGTCACCATACGGGCTGCACCGGATACCACTTACAGCAATGACATAGTATACTACGTCGCATCGGCTCAACAACGCTCCTCCCGCTTTAGTACCTCGTACGAATCGAAGACCTGCTACGAGGTCCGCCTGCAAGCTTGGAACTGCTCTTGTCCTGCTTTTGCATTTGCTGCCTTCCCTGCGACGAACAACGAGGTGTCGGTCTCATCATACGACACCCAAAACGAAGCGGACGGAAGTGATTCGACAGAGGAGGCCGGCGACACTGCCTGGTTATTTGGTGGTATAAGCTTGGGTGACGGCATGCCACCTATTTGCAAACACCTCTTGGCATGTGTTCTTGCCGAGAGATGCAGTGGTCTATTTGGAGGGTTTGTGGAAGAAAAGACTGTTAGTGTCGAGGAAGCTGCCGGATGGGCTGCTGGATGGGGAGACTGAGAGACAGCACTTGTTGAGTATGGATAACAGACTCATTTCGGTCCGTCATGTATCTATAGGTATGCTGTGACGAGTCAGTAATCATACCTTTGGCATGTCCGGATATCCGCCAACTGCTGTCATGTTCTTGGTATTTCGTATCTATCATGCCGTTATTACACAAATGCCAGGGTCATGCAAAACGAAGTTGCCCATGTCTCTTCCCAAGCCCTCAAGTGTGGTATAGTACACGGTCTTTGCCAGAAGGTGCGTCCTGGTCACATGCTCTATCCCCATGTCTCCTTGCTCCTTCAGCCCTTCTTCTTGGGCTCCTCCTTGGCCTTTTCTTTGCCCTTTTCTCCCTCCTTGACCTCACCATTGGTCTTTTCATCCTTCTTCTCCTTGTCACCCTCCTTGGCCTCTTCTTTCTTGGCCTCCTTGTCCTCCGCTTGCTGCTTGTTCTGAATCTTGTTCTCAATTAGGTCGTGGAAAGCGGTGATGGCGCGAATCAAACTCGAGAGGTAGATGGCCATGAGCTGGTCATTCGTCTTGATGCTCATGGCACGCGCAAGCTCGCCATTGTCAACAGCGCCTGCCTGGCCTGCCGAGGCACCGACGCCGTTGGTTGCGCCGCCGACTGGTGCGGCCTTGGGTGTGGAGAGGTTGGGTAGGAGGTTGAAGACGTCCTGGAGGTTTCCGAGAATGGCGTGGTTGACGGGTAGGTCTTCGTCAAGGACCTTTTGGAGGTATTGTCCAATGTCTCGTAACCGTAGATGTAGGCCTTGGAGTGACTGTAGTTGCGAGGTTATGCGTGTAGAGAGAGTGCCAACAGCGACATCACGGATATCACGCAGGAGGTGCTCTACACCAATCTCCTCGGCCTCTTCAGCCTCGATTATTGAGGGTGTGTGTACGAAAGTCTTGGAGGTGGTTGTGCCGTCCTGGACGTCTTGTTAGTTCCCGAACTAGTTGTCTTTCTCGCTGCCAGGGCCATTGTTATGTAACAGGGCCAGGGCAGGTGCACTCACATCCTTGATCTCTTCTACCGCAAAGTACGCATCTGTTGGTACGCCGACTTCCTTTGGCTGAACGTCAATAATGACGAGCAGTGGGTTAGGTGTGTACCGCTTGAATAGCTCGTTGACTTCCAAGTCGGACGCCCGTAGTTTGGGGCCTGTGTGATACCAACCGATGAGCTTCTCCCGCGCGTTGACCTTCTTGAACATGTCGTTCATCGATTCGACGTAGTTGTGGTCCAGAAACCATACCGAGGGGTCTTTTTCATCTTCTTCGAATGGTACTGCGGCCTGTCAGCTCTTGCATACGTCGCTTGCCCCAGTTGTGCTGCGCAGGCGGCAAACTAGACAATGGAGGGGCTACACACCCGCGAAGCTGTTGGACACGCGTACGTTCTTGCCGTCGTTCTGTCCAAGTAGTACACCAACTACTCTCCTCTTGGTGCCCTTGGCTTGTCGGCCATAGTGATCTGCTGCCGAGAGGAGTACGAGCGGCGCGACCGAGACATTGCGGGTCACGAGCGACAGCGTCTCTGCTGTGGTGGCGGGCATGTTGATGATGTGTGTCCGATCGCCGAGGAGAATGTGAATTGTTCAAGATGAGGCGGCGGTGACGGACTCTGTTGGACGGCGGGTGGTGTGTGGTTGTTGTTGTTGATGCGGCTCTGCAATGGTCATCGAAGCTTTCGGGACTGGCGATGCTGAGCTAGCGCTCCGGAGCTCTGGCCCACACACCGAGCAGTCAGCGAGCGACGTCAGTATCCCCCGAATTCACGCATTGCACATATCAAGACTGTCACATGTAGAACAGTTAATCATTGGTATCTAACGAAAGTATAATACAAATAGCGCTCTGCAAGTTTGAAAGTAAAGGCGCCGCCTTATAAAATCTGTTCGTTCACGTCGTCTCAATTGAGACATCAACACCGAGGACCCCATTGTCAAACATTACCGCGTTGGACCGAGAAGACCCGTATACAAAAATAATAAAAATTATAAAGTGGCGGTCGGGAAGTAGTACTGGTCCCAGAGGTACTCGTAGTCTTCAATGACACCACCGACCATGTCGAGAAGGAGCTTGCCCTTTAGCTTTCCGGTTATCGAGTGTATCCAAGCCCTATTCACCGTTAGCATAAACCGACATAGGGGGAGTACGCGAGGACTTACTTGGTGATGTTCTCGTAGAAAGCGCCGCGCATGACCCACCAGCCTAGGGACCAGCCCCGCTTCCGCAGCTCCTCCTTCTCTAGTCCTGTCAAGCCTCGCAGTCCTCCGGCTAGTCGCTCTTGGAAGTCCTTCTTTGCCAGTTGCCTTGCCCCATATTCCATGCTGAAACCGACAAGCCATGGCCGCCAGCTCTTCCTGTCGCCGCTAAAGTGTTGCATAGCCAGAGCGTATACGACCGGTCGCAGAATGTACAATGTCTCCGCAATCTCACCCTTTCCACTCACTCGGTGTAGCAGGGCCTTGGGTGGCTTGATATCGTCCGCCGTGAGAACCTTGGAAAGGAGGTAGCTAGAAATATCCGAAGAGTCTGGTAGGCTCGGCATGGAGAGGCCTGTCCTGGGCATTGTCCAGTTCTCTGCCTCGACTGATCGCTCACTGGGTGGTGTATCCATCCCGTCGGCCGATGCTGACGATTCCTCCAGCGAGCTAGGGTCGATTTCTCTTTGGGGGAGCGGCGGAGAGAGAAGTGGTCTCGAGTTTGTCAAGCGTAGCAGCAACAGTCGGCATACTGCCTTTACCACCTCCAGCAACACTACCACGCGCCACCGGACCTTCTCGCCCTTTCTCTTGGCCGCCATCTCCCACAGCAGCTCGGTATACTGAATCATCTGGAGTACGATGGCGATCCGCTTGTACGTCGGAGAGCTTTGGGTCCAGAACTTTGTATATCGGTGATGCGGGGTGAGGGGTTGTCGTCGCGCCCCCGGCATTTGCGCCATAGCCTTGGAAAGGAGAGAGTCATGGTAGAGGGAGAGAACCTGGACGCCGCTGTGTACTGAGACTTTGTTAGATGCAATAGTCGCCGTAGTTGGGTGCGAAACGTACAGGACTCGGATGCGATCTCGGATTCCCGGAAGCGTCCTACAGTTGTTAGCGGGCCGCCAAAAATAACCTTCTTGCCATTTACGTACCAGGGATGATGTAGGTTAGCGATCGCAGCGCTGACTCAATCTGCGTCACCGCGCTGCTGTTCTTCGTGATGAAGTCTGAGTACATGCCCAGCCACTTCGGGGGCATCGAGAACACCTCGCCCGTCTTCTGCGTCGCTTGCTTGTACATGGCCGTAGTCGCGTCAGCAAATGCGCTGACTTCGGGCGGGTTTGCGACGTGTACGTGCCCGTGTTGAGATATGCACGTGTAGATAGGAGCGATGGACGAGGGTGAGATGGTGCAGGTGCGTCTGTCTGACGCGCACTAACTTACCAAGTACCGAGGCACGTCCGGCTCAGTCACTAAGTTACCCTGAGTCCCTGACTACCCCGGATGCGGCGCGTCCACGTCGGCATGCCGACGTATCTGCTTTGGACACACAAGATAACCTCAACATGGCTGATTTAGTTGCAGCAGTAGCTACCTGCTCTCTTTCTAGCTACATTGTCAGTGACGTTCTCATTCCAGCCAGTGACGTGTAGGCTGTGACGTTTCTTGCCTACACACACCTGCCATGATGCAATTGCTCGCAGATCATGGGCATTTACCTTTCGCATACCTCTGCTACATGCCACCATCCAGGCCGGCGTTGCTCACTAATAACGCACCTAGCATGTGACTGCGCGTAAAAGGAAAAACACGACACGTCACAGTACCGAGATACCTGTGCGAGCATACACCGCTCAAGCAATACAAAACCCTCTTTGTTTCGGACGCCTCTCGTACTCATTCTCTCCCTGTTGCCTATTCACCTTCTGTCTTCATCCCACATCAAAGTCACCTGCAAGCAGAAGACGACTTCAGTATCACGTCAAAGTTCAAATACCCTCAAGGCGTCCACCTAGAGTCTCTACACAATGCCGAGCAACGACTTGGACCAGCTGCCCGTTCCTCGACTACCCATCAGAGAAGAGGACAAACGACTCTTTGCATCAATCAATGGCTTTGTCCACCAGTACATGTCCAACTACGACAACTCACACGATTACCAACACATCCTACGCGTCCTCTCCAACACCAACCGAATCCACCAGGCAGAACTCAAGGCCGATCCTTCAGCCAGCTACGACACCACCGCCATGTTCCTCGCTGCAGCTCTGCACGACGTAGGCGATCACAAATACGCAAAACCAGGCGAAGACGTCGAGCACCAAATCGCCAACACCCTCCTCCATCATGGCGCATCCAAAGAGCTAGCCCTAAAAGTTCAAACCATTGTCAAACACGTATCATACAGCCACGAAGCCAGCAACCCACAAGGTGTTGCCCTGTGCCTTGAGCAACATCCTGAACTAGCCATTGTCCAAGACGCGGATCGGTTGGATGCTATTGGCGCAGTGGGAATAGCACGCACCTTTTCTTTTGGAGCAGCAAAGATGCCGGACCTACCCATGGGAAGGACTATTGATCATTTCGAGGAAAAATTGTATAGGCTAGCGGGCATAATGAAGACGGCGTCTGGGAGGGAGATGGCAAGGCAAAGACATGAAATTCTCATGGAGTTTGTGGGTAGGTATCATGATGAGGCAGAGTTGAGCTTTGAGTTACAATGAAATTTTGTTACCTTCCATCTCATGGGACCTTTTAGTATTACAAGAGAATCTAATTCTAGTGAACGAATGCAGGGGCTATCGGGACGGCATGTTTCGGCATGCATACATCCGTGCAGTTCATGTGTGTTACTCACCTTGATATGGAGTCTGAATCAGTCATCACTACATCTCGGCCAGATGTCCATATCAAGTCTTGACTATTCGTAACATCCAGGATGGAGCCTTTGTGAAAGCCAGGGTCGTATCTTCTCATAAGTGCATTCACCAGGGTACTACACCCAGAAAGAGGGTATCTTACTAGCTTTCAAGTGGGTAGCTTTTTTATTTACAGCCAACGGTATAATACAGGACTCGACTCGGCATTTAAACCCGGGTATCATGGATCCCGATTGGATTGGGAAGAAAATCCCGATTTTTATCAATTCCCAATTCCATTACACATGCATGACGATAAAAGTACCAAAGATAAGATGGAGGAGTTGGTGAATGACTCAGTTATTCGGGAGAGTCGGGAGAGGCTGAAGTAGCAGAAGGCCAGACTTAAGAAAAGCAAATGTATTAGTACTGCTCTAGAATAAATACATGTGCACACCATTAACAGTGTTGGCTGATTCTACAATAGGAAAGTGCTAACATGGTGATGTCAGGATTCTTCACTTTTAAGGTGGTGAGGTGGTTCTGTTCACTACTTAGGTAAATCTATGACACGCCGCTTGCGGGTGTGAGGGACTTTTCTCACCGATGAATGTGCACGGGCCGATACCCAAGCAAAACATGCTTTTAATCTATCCAATACTAGCAAGTCGCATGCAATGCACATCTAAGATGCCCTGCGTGGCTTCACGGAAGAGGTGTGCCAGCCAATCAGCGTGCATCAGGTGACAATCTCGGCTTACGCATCTTGGCGAACAGCGTGCCTCTACCATCAACCTTCGTCTGTCGCTCACTGCATTTGTTGTACATTATCGAGTCAGATCCGGGCGGCACGGCCGACTCCAAACACCTTCTCGCTGCTAGTGCTCTGTTGCCAAGCCCACACTCCATCTGTAAGACATTAGTTGGTGTCCACAATGCACGTTGAGGATGTATGTACCCGGGTACTCTACCCACATTCTACCCAGGCAGACAAACATAGTGCTAGCTACGATCGAGGCTCTCCGAGACCGCACGGAACCGTCGTAGTGGAGACGAGGACATGCCACAGAATCGTAGGATTCATGTACGGTACGATGTCGTGCATGGAAATCTTGCAAGGTGCGACTGCATACAGCACAGAGGTGGAACGTCTATCTCGCATCTGCTACTACATCGATCTGGAGCAAGACTCCATGATCCCGGTCGGGTCGACTCCGCGAGATGGTACCGCGCCGTCTCCGATTTGCCCCTGTTAGGTAGGACACCTAGTGCAGGAGCACTGCTTCGACGGTGAACGCTGTGCAGAGACCACACCCAACAGTCGCCTATGCTTCCAGCTGAGCGCAAATGAAGTACGACAGTATTACGAGACGAAACAGTAAGACTTGGGTTGAGTTCTAGGCGAGGAAGATTTCTTAGCAATACGTGACGTTCCGCTACAAGCCTCATACCGACTGCTGATTGGCGGGTCAAGTTGCCGTGTCCCAATCAACATCGAGACTGGCTATGCCAGCCATATAACTAGGAGGAATCTAAGATATCAACTGCGTTTTTGGGTTAATCGACGATCGGTGTATTTAAAACATGTATACCTCTGGACCCTGCTCGGTTCACATCCCTAGTATCCCGGCGGCCATGCGTCCCCTCAGACCCCTTCTTCCTTCTGCTACACGGCCACGCAACGAGCCCCTTCCTCTATTACCCCGCGAGCGCGTCGCATCTGCATGCGATCAGTGTCGAGCCCGAAAAATCAAATGTAACGGCAAGAGGCCTGTGTGTCTTGAATGCGTCAGGCGCTCAACATCCTGCCACTATGCCGCTCGATCGACCGAGACACAGGGACAAGCCCTGAAGCGAAAGTACGATGCGCTACAGTCTGAGAACGAGGCATATGCCGAGTTGTTCAGCCTGATCCGTACCAGGCCAGATAACGAATCCTTTGAGATTCTCCGTCGTATCAAACTGGGTACTGACGTCCGCGATATCCTCAAGCATATCAAGGAAGCGGATCTGCTTATTCAACTCAACCTGAGACCGCAGAACAGGTTCAGATACACACTTCCCTTCATGTCTACCATGTCTGCGCGTATCTCTCATCCGGAGAACTTGTACTACGCTCCATCTCCATCCGAGTCGCCGCCTGAGCCAGTCAATATCCCTTCAATCGATTCGCTTCTGGATCGTTGACCAACCGCAACCAATTGGAACTATCATCCGGCCACATTCATTTTTTTCAGCTCCAGGGACCACGCAGCAGTTATACCCAGAGAAGAAAAACAAGACCACTCGACTATCAGCCCAGGCTCGTACCCCGCAGTCAATTTTTAGCGACTCTATCGGAGTTTAATTGCCTCCTCGTTAGCTCCGTAAGTCTGTAGAATCTTTGCATCAGAACTGATTAACAGCTTAATCAGGCGACCGAGGGATCCGCTGAGCTGCATTGAGCTGTTGGCGATAAACCTACTGAACCATTTATTTCTGAAAACAAGCTGGCTAGATGTGAAGCCAAATCCCGGCTATCTAGCTTACGCACATGATGCAGAGTTTTGTACGCACCCTGCAGATGAGAGGAAGGGCTTTGTGTTTGCCTGAGTGGGGGTTCACCGGGGTACTGGTTTCTTCAGTATCATAAGTCATGTAAGGACCCGCTGTCTTGTTGACGGGGTATAAAAAGAGCAGGAGAAAGAAGAAAATACACCAGCAGTTGTTAGTACATTATTTCAGCCTTGAGGCAGAGAAAGATAAATCAATTGCCTAACCGCTCCATGTACATACAAAATGCTATTCGGCGACGAAATAGTCTGCTATTTAGCTAATAGGAGCTCTGTTTGTGTTGACGTGTGGTGTGCTGATGTACTGAAGGAGCTGTTTAACGTGTCCGTGCGCGTGATGCGCGGATTCGCGTGATGCGCGGGGAACACCATATCCACTACTTCAAAAATGAAGCTATTAAGCCACGTATATAAGCTGTTATTATACGAATTTATAGAGGGGGAGTAATTAGATGCTTGCGATCAACTTGTACTATCTATATTTTGATGGGAGGTTGACGTTGCGGCCACGTGATGTGAGCTTTGATGGAGGAGCTGGAGGCTCTTCTTGAACTTGAGCACCAGCGCGAGCAGCCTCAACGCGTTTTTGACGCTTGTTGTTCGATGAGGTAGCTGCTGAAGCTCTCCTCTTTCCCTTTTGGGGTAGTTGTATAGCTTTAGCAGCGTCTCTCTCCTCCTTCTGGCGCGCGCGTTCAGCTGCTTTCTCAGCTCGCTCAAGCTCCCTCATCTCCTTGAGTCTCTGCCTCTCCACACGCCTCTCCTCGAGCTCATCTTGACGCTGCAGTCGAGCCTCCTCGCGCTGCTTCTTGGACCGTGCTTTTTGGAGTTTCTCCTCCGTCTCATCTCGCTCCCGTACTGCTTCTCTAGCTCGAGCCTCACGCAGCTTGCGAGGAGACCAGAAGACAGAGCCACCGTGATACTCCTGGCGCTGTTGAAGGTCAAGAGCTTTGCCCTTCTTCCTGTGCTTCTTTTTATGTTGAAGAGCCTCCTTTAAGCCCTCGTTCTCATGCTTTAAAAGCTCATACTGCACAGAGAGATGGTGAACGCTTGAGCGCAGCTTTCTTGCCTCATACTGATGGCTATCATTAACAGCAGCTCGTACTAGCCGATCGAGCTTTCTCCAGTCATGATCAGAGAGCCCTGACGATGAGCTTCTCTCAGCTTCTGGCGTGCTAGCAAATCTACGAAGGATAACGTTGGCATCCATCGGCCAGATCCCAGTGGCTTCGAAGGCCTTCAATATGAGGCTCTCTGTGAAGGAGGATATCCAGGCGCTCCAGAAGAGCGGGAAGAAGTCCCCTTTCTTGATTGGAATAAGGCCTTGAGCCTTATGGAGATGGTTAGTGAGCTCGTTAGAGTAGGCTTGAGAGAGTGGCTTGAACAGCACTACATCTAGCGGCTGGAGCGTATGGGTCGAATGGGGAGGAAGGATCATGAGGAGGATCCTATGGCGATCGCAGTACTTAATAAACTCCATCGTGAGGTGAGATCCATGGCCATCAAGGATGAGCAATCTCCATCTACCTGATCGTTGCTTTGTAGAGCGATCAAACACCTGCTCCAGCCAAGCTAGGCCTACGTTATCATTTGACCAGCCTGTTGGAGATGATGAGACAAAGACCTCATGTTCTCCTGCCTTGATATCTTCTACCCAACTCGATCGTATAGCTCCATTTTTAGCTGCGTAGATAAGGGCTGGAGGCAGCGAGCTCCCATCAGCGCAGCAGCAGGCCAGGACTGTCAGAAACTCGCGTGATCCATCCTGGAGAGATGCTCGAACCTCCTTCTTCTCCCATTGACGCCTGCTGAATATCCTCTTACTTCTGCCTATCAAGCCAATTAAGAAGCCCTTCTCATCCATATTGTATATATCTCGAGCCTCTAGGTGATATTCGGTGATCTTTCGATGCAGCAGCTCGAAGTAGAGTCTATACTTTGACTCAGAATCAGCCAGGTGGCGCGTACGATCCATGGCGCTGGTCCACTTTGAGATGAGATGGATCTCGTGTCGGTTGATGAAGCGAGTAACCCAGCTCTCGCTGAGCTGCTGATGGGCTACTTCTGATGAGAAATTCCTGATCATCTCTCGTGTAGGAGGAATGCCTCGCTTTGTGAGCTTTTCGATATATCTCACAAGCTCTAGCTCTTGTTGTGGGTTGAGTTTCTGCTGGTTGAAGTTCTTGTCTCTTTCTGAGCTTGTCTGGCCCTGGTGCCTTCGGGTCAACGTAGATCTCACAACACCATGCTTAGCAGCAATTTTAGTATACGAGAACTGTTCTCCTGGCTCTAGATTTTCAATATCTTCAATCGCAGCTTGAATTGGGTCCATATTGGTGGAGTTAACGTGTGTTGAAGGTGAAGGGGTTTGACGTGTTTTGGTGTTCCCCGCGCATCACGCGAATCCGCGCATCACGCGCACGGACACGTTATATGCTGGAAAATCTGAGGCCCGTCACACGAAAGCGTGAGAGGCAATGTGAATATCCAGTATATAGATCGAACCGTCTAGGGAACAAATGGACCATTGTCTTACTGTCTCACGATGCTGCCTTTGTTCAATGTCATATGCAACAAAATTACTGTCATAATCATTTCAATTTCATTTCAAAGATGACATAAAAGCAACGCCTTTTATTCACACACACACACAAACTCCTCAATGCTACGCACCAACAGCCTGCGGATTCCAAAACACACTCTTAGGATCCACCCTCTTCTTCAGGCTCGCCAGCTTCCCATACACATAGTCGCCATAGTACAATTTGTGTGCAGTCGCAGCATCATAACTAGGATCCACATAATTCAAATACGCGCCAAACATAGTCTGCGGCTGGGCATCGATAATCGCCTTATTGATACCATTGACAAAGTCAATCGACTGGGCGCCATAGCCGTAGTTTTGCAGCACCCACAGACTCTCGCGGTCGTTGTAGGCGGCGAAATCGAGGTCCTTGGCGTTGATGGCGGAGCCGGGACCGCCGTACAGGTTGATGATGATGTACCACTGGACGGAGCCAGAGGTCTTGAGGTAGTCGTAGAGGGCGTTGAGGGTTGTTGCTGTGAGGCCGGTGGATTCTGGTACGGTGACTGATTTAGCGAAGAAGTCTTCGTGTTCGTCGTAGCCGGTGAGGGGTTCTTTGATGGTGGTTTTGCCAGATACTAGGACAGTGTAATCGTACCAGCCCATGGACTTTACGGTTGCGGTGGCACTGGGTAGGGTGCGGAGGAGCTCGGGCTTGATTTTTGAGTTGAATTCGTCGACGGAGCCGAAGAAGGCGCCGGAGAGACTGTATGAGCCGCCGTTGTCGAGGTAGATGCCAAAGGAGATGCGGTTATCGATTACTGTGGCGTTCTTTGCGAATTCCTGGATGTGCAGGAAGGTGTTTGTCCATGTGGTCTTTGAGTTTTGGATCCCGCTGAAAACAAATGAGAAATACGTCATACTGGCCGGAGCTGCATGTGTTTGGATGTACAGCTTGGTTACGATGCCAAAGGAATCAGCAGCGCCCCTAATAGCGTACCAGATTTCGGGGTTGGTGGTCTGTGCGGTTTTGATGAGAGTTCCGTTTGCCAACACAACGTCAGCCCCAACAATCTGGTCCATAGCAAGGCCCCAATTACGCGATGCATGCCCATAGCCACCATGCAAGAAATGTCCACCGGCTCCGACACCTGGACAGGTTCCTTGAGCAACAGCAGCCTTGCCTTGGGTGTAGATGCCATCAGCAAGATTGCCCAAACGAACACCTCCACCGACTGCAGCGATACCAGTGCTCTTGTCAAGCTCAACAGTTTGAAAGGACTGCAAGTTGATTTGCATAGAACCGTCTTTGCCGCCAGAACTGTAACTGGCATATGAGTGACCTCCTGACTTTGCCTGGACCTTGAGTCCGGCCTGACCGGCACAGACCACCGCATCTTGAACATGCTGGTTTGTGATTGGTAGCACAATTACAGCCGGCTTGTAAGGTAGACGTAGGTTGTAAGGCTTTGCAAGATCGGTATAAGCGGCATCTGACGTCATCTTATAGGGAACATCTTTGGCGTTCAGACACTGCAGAGCATCCCCAGATACCGGTGTAGGCGCCGCAGATGGTGTAGCAGAGGGGACTATAGAAGATGGTTTGCTAGTGCTTGGCTTAGGGCTATTGGCACAGGTACCGAAGCCTGTCTGACATCCAGTTCCACACTGTCAAAGTTAGTACACGAATCTCTCTGTATCCGATACAACACTCACGTATGCTGTCGCGGATCCACAATAGCCATATTGTGAGCAACAATCTCCGAATGATGATCCTTTGCAGGTGAGGCCCTGAGATCCGCCACATGAGCCATCGGTTGAGACTGCTCTCTTGTTCAGAGATGCCCTGGAAGGTGACGCTGTGACGGAGCCGACGGACAGCAGCCCGGCGACGAAGGAAACTAGGAACTTCATCTTTTATGTCGAAGAATACATGTATGAGAGAATTCCCAATGTCTGAGGAGAAAGAAGACCCAGACAAGTATGTCGCAGGTGGCGTGTCGTACCAGTAAGCTCGGCGCACGGAGTATTGCCGGGTAAATCACTACAGCCAAAAAGGTGAACGGGAGTAAGCGCGGCCACTACAACCCGGCAATTATGGCCGAAGATATATGAAATGAAGATGTTCACTTACAAGGGCAACGCAAAGGGTCAACCCTTTAAGACTACTTTTAATACGGGAGAGGGGGGGGGGGGGGCGCCCTACCGCAGCAAGCTCCCGTACCTGCATCAATCGCACGTCCTCACAAGTACCACGTCAAACCCACAAAATTGCGCGAGAATAGATACCTCATCTACCCTAAGGCCCACCACTCGGTTGTCGGGCATAGAACCTAGTGGCGATCTTTCCAAGTTCGGTCCTAACACAAGCTGACTATGCAGAACGCCTCAACATGCCCGCGACGAAAAACGATCTTCGCCTCCCCGTACCTCGCCAGCAAAGGCAGCGTTACATTGAAAAAACGCTTATGGGAAGGCATGACCTGGCATGGGCGAGCATTAGGGTGCTGGCGGATCGGTGACGGCGCATTTGGTGCTGTTTGGTAATTTGGTAGGCCAAGCAAGACATGACGTCTGTGTCCCTTTTGTTGTGCGCATGTACCAGTATTAGCTTCCGATGTGGCAATGGGTCATTGACTAACAAATACGAGAAACCATGACCGGTGACAAGGCATGACATTGTGGATATTTGATGTGGACTGGAGCTAGGCCTTTCGCGGGCTACCGCTGCGGGCCTAACGGCTTGCTTAGGCGACCCTTGACCCGAAGTTGCTATTTTTGGCAACCCTGGGTTTGAGTGTTTTGATAGCTCAGCAGGGGATGACAATATGAGCTGATAATTTGGAGCACGACAACACCTCATAAGCCTCACGCCTACTATATCCGCCCAGCCATAGGTATGGCAGCATATCTTTGTTGTCTTATAGTCGCTGGGAAGTCTTCAGCTCTTTAGCACGATAACGGATATGTCGTCACAACTATGAGTCTTTGTAGAGTTGCATATTTTTTTGCAAAAGGCCTTTCATTTCTAGTCTACCTGCTATTACAAGGCATCAAGCCATGCAAAGAAAAATAGACAGGTTACTACGAGGAAGTACTCTTGATACAATCCATCACTACCGATACCGCCAAGATGAAAACTCCAGGTCTAGCTAGACTATGGAAGTGACTTTATGGCCGATGGACCAAATCAATACTCGACGTACCAGGCCCTGTGCCACCTGATGTCGTTTTCACACCTGATAGTCCCATCATCCCACTGAGGGTCCGCCTTGAAGGGAAAATCTAGGTAATCACCGCACTTCAAAGACCCAGGTCCATGATCGCTGGATTCAAAGCGGCAATCCGGTTCACCCTCAGGATCGAAATACCAAGTCTTGCCTGCCGCGACGTGAGGTGGTGTTGCAGTATATGCAGTCAATCAAAGTGTAACCGCGCGAGGCAGTAATCAGAGTATATTGTATGTGTTGTCGTGTTGTGTCTGCTCGCCTTTTTACGAAGGCAGCAGCAGGGTCTGTTTACATGACGTATCTATGATCCAGCTGAAGTAAGAGGTGCTCAATAAAGTGAGGAAGCAGCACCAGACCACCAACACGTGATCTGCTTCTCCTCATAACCGTCACAGGTGGAGAGTCGGGATTAGCCGAGTTCTGGAACATATCCCACGTGACCTTTTCGTGGAGGATCTTGAAGCGACTATCGATGGGGTTGCAAACAGCAGAGATAGCAATACCCTGCGGGCCTTGGAAAAGCCTCCACCATCGAAGACCCGGTAGGCTGAATAAGATAATCAGGATAGAGTGCTTGGGCGTCTCTTGCGGCAATGATGGCACGATAACTGGGTGTGCATCGGCATCGAGAGTGGCCCTGATCCTCGTTATCAATGAACGAGCTATGGCAGCGTAGCCATCTGTCGTAGGGTGGAAAGGGTGAAGAACTAAACCCTGTAGGTTTTATTGGTACGGGCCGATCTTGTCCAGCCATTGGATGTTGCTCGGATCGCTCTCAGTGTAGGCATCCTTTCCTTGACGAATGAAATTAACTGCCACGGCCATGTCCCAGGGGATCTCATGCGGATCGTTGGTGAAGTTGCCGTGCTCGAGCCAATGGTCAACCTCGGCTTCCGTTGGCTCACGAATGACAACATTGCCCGATCCACTGTCCCAAATTATACCTTCCGGAGACATGTTCCAGAGAAAGACCTTGTCGCCGAAGAACTGATCACGGAGGACATGACCAGGTTGACAAAAGCGTTGCTCGTCAAGGTGCTCATCGATATCGATGAAGGTTGCGCGCTCCGCATGGAAGCTACCCTGTATGCCAGCCTCTATGGCAGAATTGAGAGATACAATGAGTTCATTGATCTTCTTCCTCAGGGCGAGGCTCAACCTCGGACGATCACTCCTACGCATGGCAAAGCTGACGTCGTCGCACCAATCACCCGCACCACCTTCATCATAGAAGAAGCGGAAATAGCCAGAAAAGAACAGCCTAAAGTTAGGGTTCTTCCTGACATTTGGATAGTCGAAGATGGCATTGACGATCTAGCGGGTATCCTGAAACAACTGATCCTTCCACCCGCCATGAATATATGTAGCAGTATTCTCGATCTCCTTGGCGCACTTGCCGGCCTGGTCTGGGTACTCTGGGCCCCAATCTGCTCCTTCCGGCGCAAAGATGCAGGCAGCTGCGAGGTTCGCAAAGTTTACGTTGTTAGCTCCAACTTGGAGCAAGATCATGTCGATATCTTCCGGAATGTCGTTCAGTTGGATGTGGCCCAGATTCGGCTCGGCGTCAATTTGACGCCACCGAGTACCCGTGCAAGCCTGGAAGTGAAACTCCTGTGTTCGACCTTGAGAAACCCAAGAGTCGTCGTTGCTCATCTGAGCCGAGTACGCGGTTTTGATTCACATGCAGTGGTCCGTATTGTTATCGTAATCGGTAGATCCCCATAGACCGTATGTAACTCCGCTCTATATTCGAGTTAGTGCTATTACCAAGTGAGACCGGACTGGGAAATACTTACTGCCCACGAATTGCCTAGGCAAGACCAAACGTACTTGGAGGAAGCCTCACTAGCCACCACGGGGTTGTTTGCCGAGGGCGGGGTAGCGGTGCCATTGTCAGCACAGTCCGCAACAATCAATTAAGTGGGTCCTAGAAGGTTCAGATTGGATTGATTGATTACCGCTTTAAGCCTAGTAGTTACCTATAGGAGTTTAAGCCCTACATAGATAGGTAAGTGGGTCTAGGAGAGTGACCGGATTGAATTGATTGTTGCGGAGTCTAATTGTCAGGCGCTGCGTAGGTGATGGCCAAGTAGGCTGCCGAACAGAGGAGAAGAAGCCAGTGCATCTTTTCCGATATTGAGTTAAATGAGAGTGTATATCGGTCACAATGCAAACTTGTATAGGTCTCTGGATAGAGAGGGGAGTACGAGAGGCGGGGTGGAGATCTAGATACACGTCATGAGGGCTAGGTAAAGGTGGCGGAGCCATTGGATCCTTAAAATAAGAGAGCAGAGTGTTTGCTTCTCGCTCTTCGCTTGTACGAATACAGCGGCAAGTAAAGCTCCAAGACGTGTTATTGTGGAGGGTATGACGTGATCGACAGCTCTTTCACTTTGTTAACATAGCCACAGACCTTTACACGACGAGATAAGTTATTGAAACATGTCTAGTGCAAGACAGACTTATCCAAGGTCATTGTTATGTAATGCAAAAGATATCAAAATGTCTGACCGTATTGACAAGCCCACGATTGCAAAACATACACCTCGTCGTGCCCTACAAGTTTGTCACAACAAGATATAGAAAATTCAATATTATATAACTTAGCTATGGCCTTTCTAGAGCACATGCATGCGCGTAGAGAGCGAAGTTGAACTACAAGGAGAATAGATTTGACTGGGAGTATCTAGCATAAATCACGAAACACCGACTAAGCGCCAATAGACAGACCATTACCCAAGATCATAGCTACTCAGACTGCATCGCATGAGAAGATTAAAAGATTTCCTAGTTGACCCTTCCCCCAACGGCCTCGCCGACTTGCGCCAAGGGAGCAACGGGGTTCTGTCTGCGCTTAAGACTAATCTTGACCCGACCAACGCGGCTCATCTTGTCATCAAATTGTGTTCCTATACGCAACACCGTCTCCCTATACATGGTTTGTGTCGTCCAATCATAAGAGCAGCCGATGATGCGCTTCATGCCGCCCTCGGATCCAGCCATGAGGAAGCAGACCGGTGGGCGCTCGGCGAGGAAAAGCGTAGCAGTCATGTTGCCTAGGATGTATTAGTAAACAGCGGATTATGAGGGAAGACAGTCTAAGGCGTACCGGTATCGACGAGTGTGAAGATGCGCTGGTCTCCAGGCCCGGCTCTCTTGGCTTGTTCAACGAGAGCTGCGACGGCAGGATCGGACGTAGGGTCGAGGGGAATGCATTCGTTGTGCCTGTTGCGCTCATGTCTCGAGAGGGGACTAGCTGCTGCCTAGAACGCTCATCAGTACCAATCCAAACTGTAAGTGAAATTTTACATACCGTCCACTTCATGCGCCCGAGTCTGCCACCGAATATCTGGGTTTCGATGGTTTCCAGGTTCATGTAACCTTCGAACCCAAAGAACCAGCACTGTTGATCCCAGAACTTGCCAAGGTAGAGCAGACGGAGCAGCCATGGCGCCAATGCCATGAGTATTAACGAGTAGACCAGCAAAACAACGCCGAGTGTGAAAAGGGTTCCACTTCCACCCCCAGCGCCAACAAAACCAATGGCGACGAGGAATACCACGCCTCCAGAACGTAACATTATCCTGGAGAACATACGCCTCCAGGAGTCACGGCTAAGGTAGGCGACAGGGGTGAATGACTTCCAACGGACATTGGCCGCTCGGCAACCATCGAGAATGATACTGTCATCCTCCCCAACGCCGGCGATACCGACGTCCTGTGGGAGGATATCCCAGAGCTTGGCGTTGTATGAATCAGACATCGAGTGCCATGGCGCATTTGGGCTCGTGGGTAGCAGGCAGAACAGGCGTTCCAGAAGCTGGTCACTACCATTGGCCAAAGAGAGACGAGCAAATGCTTGGAAAGCAGAGTCGCTGGGGTCGATCTGGGGTCTGATTCTGAGTAAGCCCATCAGAGCGTAGGAATGGTCTCCTTGGAAGTGTTTTTCGGTATCTCGGTTGTGCAGACACTCTAGGGCAAGCGTGACCAACTCGAGCTGGTTGAGTAAGAGGTTACCTTCGTAATGGTCGATAAGCTAGAAAATAATCAGCAAATGAATGGATACAGGAGTGGAAGTAACTATACCTGTCGTGCCACCTTAGCATCATCCAGCCATACCTCCGCAGCGAACTGATTTTTTGCGACCAGCCGAGGTCGTGAGAGGTCGCTGCCACGCACGTACACTCTGATTTCTTTACCGGCGGGCGCCAGGAGTACCTCGGGAAATGTCCAAACTCGGCGACCCCATTGTTGGAGCATCAGGGCCGGCGTGTTGATCTCCGAGGAGTTGTTGGGAGGGGGTCCAACCGCGATGGCAAGGAGTTTTGCTCCTCGGATCACGTCGCAGATGCGGTACACGTCCTCTTCGAGTTGACCGTCAGGCATGCAAGAACATCCGACCCAATAGGCTATGACTCCGGCGTTACGTGCCGCTGCATCAGCCATCTCATGCAGGACTTTAAAGTCCTCCGGTCTATTGAACTGCTCAGCCGTGTACGCAATGAAGATGTAGTCGAGCTCCCGATCATGCTTGTGTTCGTTGGTCCTGGTGTTGTCAGTCATTGGCTCACAGACATCTATCACTGAGGCATACCATCTGTCTACGGCCATGATCTCGGCTGGCCTTCCCTCTTCACGCAAGAAGCACAAAAAACGGGGACACAATATTCGTTCAGCGACGGGGTTTGCCTGGCTCGGAGACTGTTTTCTAGGATGATCCGTCTCAATCATGTTCTTTGCGACTTTCGAGTATCCCCACCAATGATACGGCACGCAGTCATAGTTGCCATTATTCCTAGCCTCTATCTGGGCAGGCGAAGGACTGGAAATCTAAAGTACCGTCAGGACGCATACGTGATGTTTGGGTAAGAAAGAACTCACGAACATGGTGATTGCGCAAGAAGCGAGAAACCACTTCGCGCAGAGCTTTATCAGCTCATCGTTTGTGGGTTTGCCATTGTTCTTTGTTGGGTCGATGTGGTTGAATGGCCAGTTCGCTAAACGCATATATATCGGTGACACGTTGCGAATGAACGTACGCCTGTACGTAGACCCTGTGTTGTTCTCGTAGATATCATCAGTAGCCTGCACAACAAGTTTGGAGACCATTCCATCCCAGGACGAAATGTAGCGGTCATCGAGGTCACCCTCATGTATGCGGTCCATGAAATCTCGGTGTCGGTATTGAGCAAGCTTCTGGTACCCAAAGCCTGGCTTCCGATAAAAGTTTGGAAAGCCCCATTTGGCATTCGTCCATGGAGAGAAGATGTGGGCATAACCCTTCAGTATGACACGTGCATCGCGCTGGGTCGCGTCAGAAGACTACACATCGCAAATTCGTACTTTACAAACCTCGGGCTTCTCTGAGTCTGAGTAGCCGATAGAGCCTCGGTTTTCAACCGGATAGACCACTGCTTGAGAGTCGTTGGGTCCCATCGTGCCAAAAACAGCCGCTTATTTGAAACAGCCACACAACTGTGTTATAAAGCCCGGCTGTGTGTTATGGTGCTGCAGTGGCTGTTGTTGATGAGGATAGTAGGGTTGGGGATAGTTATAGTTTAGAGGCTTTTCAATGTTAGAACTAATTTTCGAGAGGGGTTGAGATACACTTACTTGAGCTGGAAATATCGGCTGTGGATGAGGTACTGGCTGAGTTCCGACTATGACTGGAGGCTTCAAGTTTGGATTGTTTGGGCCGTAGCTGCCTGATCCGCCGTGAACTTTCCCCTAGCCAACAACATTAGCCGAATGGAAGATAGATGGAAGTGTCCTGGCCTTTCTCACAGGGTAGTTTTGCTGGTGTGGCTGTATTTGGACAAAAGCGCTGTTTGGGTCGTAGTTGCCTCCCCCAGCGTGAGCCTTACTCTAGCCAACAATGTTAGGCGGATGGAAAATAATCTGATATATTGGGTCTTTCTAACCGGGTAATTTTGCTGAGGTGGTTGTACTTGGACAAAGGCGCTACCGCTGTTTGGGTCAAAGCCACCACCGTGTCTGCCAGAGAAGTCGGAACCGTAGGCCTGAGGGCGTTAGGGATGTCTGAAAGTCAAATGGGCCCAGGTATTCTAATTGCCATTCAAGTGAAATGTATTTGCAAGTCGAGCGACGATCGTTAGAGCTGATCTTTGACTCACTGTCGAAGGGCAAATAGGTCTAGTCTTATCGTGTTCGAGACCGGTGAAGTGTAGCCTTGTTTATCTATACGAGCAGTCGAGTAACGTTTGAATACAAATTATCAAAAAAATATCGATTGTAGTCCCATCCCATCAGTTCAGCTCGCTGGGGTCTTGATGGATGGGTCCCATTGACCAGTGTAACCGCCTGGTCCTCCAGTGGCGCTCATGCAAGCTCCACAAGCGAAAATGGCCCCCGCATGAATGTCAAGTCTCTCTTATGAATTCCCCTTTGGGCACTAGGCGTTTAAGCGATCCCTATGAAACTGACGCTCAGACAATACTTGGATATCTCAAGGACTGGTTAAAATTAAAAGGCGTCGTGCGACTGCAGATCGTAGCCTCATTGTAAGGCTAGACGCATAATAGGCAAATGGTAGGCGAACCATTCCACTGTTACACTGTGTAGTAGTAGACAGCGGAACTGAATTTGTGACATATGTAAGGGATCAACACTACGTCGGATAACGGAAGGAGGTACGACGAGGGAAAAAATCCGCCGTATAAAGGAGCTTTTCATCAATTGCTGTTGGAGCATAAGTTTGGAAACGCGCTTGGCATTATGGTGATAGAACACCATCCTCGGCAAATTAGCTAAGGCTTGTGAGGTGGGACATCCGCCAGCTCATATCTTGGCATTTTCAGCCTTGCGCCACCAACTGTATTCTAAGGCCAGCGATAGGTGCGCTCGGACAAATATGGGGTTATCACCTTTTCGTCCAGCTCGTACGATGGCTCTTCTGCTTTGGGTCGAAGCTGAAAAATTCTGAGTTTGAGGGCGTTGTCGCGTGGTTTGGCGTATGAGATCCAGGCAGTCGCCGTGTGCTAATGCTTGGCATGCGGGTATGCAGGAGAAAGCTGAAGAGTATTGGAGCCTGTAAATTTTGTGCGTTCTTGTCCACTGAATTGACTTGTCGTGGAAAGGCTGACGCAGCAAATTCACAATCGCAGAAGAACCACCAGTCTGAGTCCACACCATAAGTGGTATACAATCTTGTCCGATTCTCAAGGTTTGGTAAAATTCAGAGTAACGTTAGAGATTTATCAGAGCTTGCCGAAAATGGCATCATTTCGTAGTTTGACTACAGACCGTCAGCCCTTTGAAGAGTTCAGGGATAGAGCGTCGAAGGTCGGGCCTGTTCAGCATAATGGCATCGATTTGCATCTTCTTGAATGGTATGATGATGCAGCTCCTGGACGAGAAAGAAATGACTTGAGGTCAATCAGTCAGCTCGAAGAAGAAAGTAAGGGAACTGTCCGTGTAATGTGAGTATCGCCCAAGGATGACGACGTGCGACTAATGATCTCAGATTCGCACCACGAGATATTCCCATACCAAGAGATACCGAGGGCCTACTCGAGCTTTTTGAGGCGTGCGAAATCCCAAGCGCCTTTGTCGATGAAAGCCTACAAGATGTCTCACAGAGCTTCGCGGCACGCAACAACGTAGACGGCACGACCTTTGTATGGTTCCATTTCTTGTGCAAGACGGTTACAGTAGTAAAGAACCAGATTGTGCACATCGAGAATGATCGAGATATCGGTGGCAGTGAATCCGACCATCGTCGAGTGGCGCAGTTGCAGAGCCAGGCAAACTTTTCTTGGATGAAACCAGGCATCATTCTCAAGATTTGGGAGCAGCAACCAACTAACGAAAAGCCTGCTCGTACGTCAACTTCAGATAGCGAAAAGACTTTGATGGCCCCAGGAGTCCAAACCAGGGTCGATTTATTTTGTTTCGGGGCTCCAAGCACACTCCATCAGCGCTTCCAGAATTTGCTGACTACGGCAAAGCGTTCCGAAATACTTGACGATCCTTATCTCTTAATGGAGGTGGTATTCGAAGAAATGTACAAAGTGTTGGACGGGACTGGTTGGGCTGTTGCTGACATTTTCGGACTCTCGGAGACGGTACTGACTCCTCCTAGGAGAATCCATGTTCATGCTAATGACCGTCAGGAAACCTTGGAGCTAGCTACCAAACCAGGTCAAGCAACGGAAAAGCTCCCCAAGACCCATTTCACTGGGCTTCATAATCTTGCAAAGCACACCGTATACCTACGTGAGAACTGCGATGCGGCCTTGGCTACCTTGGACGATTTCTCCAACCACCATAAGACGGTCGTTGGCGAAAGTCCAAACCCAAGCCAAAAGTTTGCTCGCCAGGCGTTGAAGTATCGGAAGACGCTTTTCGAGTCGACACAGCGACGGCTCTCGAGTTTAGACGCCCGGATATCCAACATAATCCAGCTGTCCTTTCATATAGTCACCCAGGGTGACAGCAAAGTCATGCAATCCGAAAACAAGAGTATGAAAACAATTGCTGTCATGACCCTTATCTTCATGCCACTTGGTACTGTAGCTTCCATCTTTGGTAGCCAGTTTATGAGGCTTCAGGAAGAGCCTCCTTATAAGCTTTTCGTCTCGCCAGACTTTTGGCTGATGTGGGGTAAGTGCACATGTATACTTCTTTGGAGCACGGGCTGACCCATTAACTTTCAGTCATCGCCGCACCCTTGACGATTCTACTCATAGGAATTTGTAAGTGCCTGTGCACGACGTTCGTATGAGCCATGACTGACATTGCGAATAGGGTTATGGTGGTACGACCACGAAAAGAAAAAGTTGCTGGAAGAGAGGGAGTCGGGACACGGCTATGCCAGGCTGCAGCAGTCGTGGACACAGCTGATAAACACAAGAAGTCAGGGTAACGTGTGATGCGTGAAGGACTGTTGGGCGGGGAGATGCACGTGCATTTCAGGATTGCGTCGCGCGCAGACGAAGCTAGTACAAACTTGGATGAGCTACTTGAAGTAGGTCACATTATAGATGCTGAGAAGTCTGTTACACTCGCATATCTACTTGCGGTGCATATGCCAATCCGGAAAGCCTTGTGGTAACAACTCACGTCAATGCCCATGTTCGCCAAATATGTACCTAGGTAGTCCTTTCCAATCGTTCATTCTTAGAAAACTTTGCATGCAATCCTTTCGGCAGCGCAACATCATCTGTTTGCAGGTCCTCGTAGTCATAAATGAGCTCTAACGCTTATGTGCTTTCAGTATGAAGCGATATGGGCCCAAGCCTCTTCCTCTTTCCAGTCAGAAGGACTTGCTCTATGAACATGAGTCAAGTATAGCACCTACCTGCAACGTGGTAGACTCACAGAAATGGCAACTACTGCCGTAGGAATGTCAGTAGTCTCTACTCTCTGCTCGTTCGCTGCATGTATAGACGTAGATACACAACACAACACTCTTACGTCCATTACTGTATAACACACCAGACAAGATTTTTCTATCGTTAAAATGTCATTACCCTCCAGCCGAGAAACTACAGGTCTAGAAACACTGCCCCGAACCCCAAGCCCATTACTCCAGGCTAGACCGTCTCTGCACCCGACTCAGCAACAAGAACGGGAATGGGTACGCGATCAACGAGTCTGCCACTCAAATTTGCGGGATAAAATCCGTCATCTCGAAACAATATTGACGACTGCAGCGACCGCGAGAGGAATCTGGCAACAAAAAGTTCTGCAGTTGCGAAGTCATTTCGAACACTTCATATCGGTCAAAGCAATATTGAAGACCATAGAAGAGGCAGGAGCGCAACTCGATGCGAACGAGGCACAAGCGGCAATCAAACAGATTATTCAACACCGGCATATCGTGGAGGAGATCCAAAAGTGTACGGACGCGGCACGCGAACGCTTATCACTGCTCAGGCAGCGTGTGCAGGAACTACACGAGGAGCGTGAAGAATTATGTCTGCACCGTGAGCGTGTCCTAGCTTTGCGTCTCCACGCAATGCTGTCGGCCCCACCAGTCAGGTACGGAGATCCGTTTGATAAGCTCGTCGGGGCTGTTGCTTCCTCCACGCCTACTGGTCCATTATACGAAGTATCCCACCCAGATCCACCGGCGCCTCGCAGCCGTTGTCAGTTTCCCACCAACAGCAATCGGGTTTTGGTACAATTACGACAAGCACGAGCATTAGCAGGCTTGGATACCGGTCTCATGGACGAAGAGATAGCGTATCGTGTACTTAGAACCCCAATTGAATGGGGTAGGGTTGGCTCTATAGGGATAGATTGGTCTTTTGTATTGAGGCAGCATCTTCTTCCAGCTATGGACCCGTCGAATGAAGATCAAAGTAGGCCGTATTGGGGTTTCGCGGATGTTGTAGAGTCTGGTAACGAGAACATGGATGGGATGTAATTCCAGAACAGTGCTTACTCGATCGTACCACATACAATACAAAGATTACATCCGTTTGGGTCCTACAACTCTCATGACATTTCGTGATCTATACCCAGTCCCATCATCCCGGTCGCATCCCTTTGCACTATATCCACAGCACCGCTGACCTCAACAAAGTCTTCCAACTCTTCGCTTGTGGTTTTGAGTTTCTCTTTGACAACCGTGACGCCCTCTGAGCCAACAATATGACGCGCGGGAGGATTGTCGTGGCCTCCTATCGCCGTCAACGCGTGCACAGTCTCTGCGATCAAGTTGGCTTTCACGACGGCTGGTAACGGCGCATATAAGCTTGTCACCGTTTCCGAGCTCAGAAGATCCCCCATAGTGGGTTCTGCATCCTGGCCAGTTTCGGACATGGTACTGTCCTCACCAGGAGACTTGGTTTCGTCAAAGGTATTGCACTGTGGGGCAGCAGGATTATCTATCCTCTCAAGCTTGTCGAGAAGACCGGAGAAGATTTCTCGGGCTAGTGGTGCAGGGTTCTCGCCCTGCAGATAGACTGGCATTGGTGGAACGGACGTTATCCGGTTCGTAAGCACGTTGACTTCCATGTTGGCTTGTACTATGGACATCTTCACGTTGAAGGGGGCGATCTCGTAGGCGAGGCTCTGTTAAGGGTTAAAAGTCGCATTGTCCGGTGAACCCATTACTTACGTCGCAATAGCCTTCGATGGCCCACTGAGATGAGCAGTAGATGCCCAAGCCCGGGGTTCCGAGATGGCCAGCTATCAAGGGTCAGCAAGTGACAGGTGACGAAGGCGGAGTAGCTTACTGATTCCAGTAATAACAATGAGATGACCATTTTTTCTTTCTCGCATAATGGGAAGTACGGCTTTAATGATGTTTACGTTGGCAAAGAAGTTGATTTCAAAAATCTCGTCAACTAAGCTCAATGTTCGACTGCTCTGAGCAAGTTCCTCGACAGCGCCAATGATAGCTACTCCCCGAACTCATAGTTAGTCGCAGTACATGCTTTATTGGGAAGCGACATTACCTTCGCTGGCGGCACACAGCAGAACATCGATGCGTCCAAAAGCCTCTACAGCCTCGGCAACAGCTGCTTGGCATTGGCCAATAACTCTCCATTTGGGATCGTGTCAGCACGATAAGCATAGTAAGAAACTCATTGTACCTCACCTGCTGTCCAGGCCAACGACCCTTAAATGCTCCCGCCACCGATCTGTTTGCTTGACATCTTCCAAGAACGTACGAAAATCAAGACTTTGACCTTCGCTTTTCTCAAACTCATGAGGCACAACTCCGGCTACAACGTAGTCACCATGCTCTAGTACTTGTCTCGCCAAGGCAATTGCAATGGGCGATACTCCTCTTGTGATGAACCAGACGCGTGGAGCATTGTGTGGAGGAAAGTGCGGAGATTTCGGCCGCGGGGGCTTCGATGACGACGATTGAGCGCTACTCGTCATATCGGAAGAGGCAAGGACGTAGACATGTAGTGTATCATAGTGCTGTTCGGTTGGTGTGCACAGAGGTATTTATATAAGTACGTGGTGCTCACCATCCACCGATAGGTGTCTGACCTCGGAAGTGGAGACGGCAATGCAACTGCCTAACTCCACAAAGCCGCACCTGCATCAACCTAGTCCGAATGCGCACTAGCGCCCACGAAACAGGCCCTGGGCCTTCACTACGCAAACGCTCACCACCACGACTCTGTGCCAAGACCTCATAGGATACTACGATAGAAGCAGTAATTTTATCTTAAGTCAGACGATAGGATCCGTGTGGAATACCTGTTGACGTGAGCTCTGTATTCGCCAACCAATCTCGGCAAATTTCACACCTATCCTCTCCCAACCTGTGGTAGGGGCCTCCTTCACTTTCACTTCCGGTACGTCTATCTTGTCCTCATGCCTCGCGTTAGCTTGTCATCTCCCAGCCCCTCGGACTAGTGCCAGTCTCCCTCCTTGTCAGCCCAGTCCACAGTCAAAATTCAAGATTTCCTGCCATCAGCTCCCAACTTCTGACATATCACACTACAATATCATTATCATTTCAAACATTCCTCCACCGATCTACTACTTCAACTATCTTTCAATCCCATCAACCTCTTCATTCTTGTCATCATGACCTTCGAATACACTCTTCCCGACGAGTGGACAGAATTTGATTCGGATGCAGTGACTTCCGAGAAGGACTTCTTGTTGAACGTCTACGCACAGCACATCAAGGTAGCCGACCACTTCCGAGAGTTCCAGGACGTTTATGTCCTCGAATGTGCTCTGAACGATCGACCAAAACCCACTCGTGCACAGAAGCCCAAGAACAGTTCCAGTGTCAGCAAGGCTCGTCGCGTGCGCGATAGCTCCTACACCGGCATCAGTGGCAGTCGCAGGCGCCCCCTCTCTCAAGATCGCCTTCAAGCCATGGCAAGTCGCTCAGCTACCCTCGCGCAATATGAGCGCCATTCCGTTCAGCTCATGTCGAGGGTCCTCAACATCCGCCCCAATGCATCGCCGTTCACACTGGTCCTCGACGATCTCAATCAGCGCGCGTTCCCATTTGTGGATGAGATGATTCGCCGCGCACTGTCACGCAACACCAACATCGTCGTCGTCACCTTTGAGGCCACACACTACGCTGCCCCTCTTCGAAAAGTTAACGGTCACAATGCTACCGCCAAAGACATTATGCAAGACGTGCGCAAAGCCATGGACGGTGCGAAGGGGAGCCTTGTCATCGTCGACTCTCTGAACGATATGCTCAACAAACAGGGTGTCGACATGAGCGAACTGTTCAATCTTGTGGCAGGAACGTACTCATCCACCCTCGTCGGCGTCTACCATTGCGACATGTTGCCCGCCCAGGATGCGCGACCCGAGACGGCATACACACCTGAGCCACTCGAATTGGTCAAGTACATGGCCACTGCAGTCATCACCTGCAAGTCATTCGCTCACTGCCTCGCCGCCAAGGCTGCCAAAGAGCGTAGTCTGCCAGAGCCCACCCACGGCGTACTTCAAGGAGCTGAGGGTATCGTCCAATGTCTTGATGCCAACGATAACCGTGGTATCGTTCTTGAGGCTGAGTTCCGTCGCAAATCCGGTCGGCCCGAGGGCGAGACATTCTTCCTCCCCACCTGGAGTGAGGAGCACTACCGTGAGCCCCTGCCCAGCCAGGAGTGTGGCACTCTGAAACAAGAGATCGTTGTTCTACTGGACAAGGTCCCTGAATTTGCCGGCCCAAAGGTGGTTGGACAAGTTGATGCTTCTGGAAACGAGATCGAGTCTACATTCAACCTTGGCCTCACCGATAAGCAGAAGCAAGCCCGTGAAGGCGTTGTACTGCCCTATTTCGATGCCCAGAAGGGTGAGGGTGGCGAAGGCGGTCGCATTCTGTATGACATGGGCTCGGAGGATGACTTTGATGATGAAGAAGACGAATTCTAGGCGAGGTGGGGTTGGGTTTGATATCTGCTGGCGCTGGACGCAAATTGACGAGGATGAGATACCCATGGCGTAACGGTTAAGGATGAGGAGGCAATCAGGCGCATAGCGCAACTGTCACGACAGAAAATACTACTGGTCTGAGTACACAACCCTGTATTCTGCCTTGCCTTGCTTGATTCGATATAAGTGACTTTGTGATGTTCACCTTTTAGACTAGTGCTTCGGACACGCTGTATTAGTGAGTTTCTACTGTATGCTTAAAATAAGGTGGTAGCCTTTTATATCATACAGCTGTATCACTCAAGGTGATCACCCGGGTGTCATAAGACACTTGCCATACTCGTTTATCAAGGTCACTGTAGTCGCCAGGCACGCGTATTAGGTGCTGACTCACACTGTCAAGTATGTCATGACACCCAGTTGTGGTGGTGAAGTTGGTAGGGCTGAGCCGCAGCTTGGCGCCTAAACTCACCCAACGATTCATTATTCTTTGCGCCAACATCACCCACGCCCACAACACAACCCCAACATGTCAGACAACGAGCGACCCCGCGACCGCTATCGCGAGCGAGACAACCGTCGGGAGCCACGCGAAGCCCGTGAGCGAGGCGGCACCCCCACAGAGCGACGCAACCGATCGCGCAGTCCACGAGAGCGCGGCGGCCGGCGGGATGCCCCCCGCTATCGTTCCCGATCACCCTTTAGGCGAGATGATCACGAAAGCGGTGGACGTGGCAGCGACAGAAGCAGAGGTGGTCACGATCGAGGACGCGGTCGCGACGACCGTAGAGGAGGCAGGGACGACCGTGCCAACGCTGGCGACCGCTCACCACAACCACCAAAAGGCCCACGAGGCGGCATCCGCGGCCCATTTGGCGGTGCTGCCAAGCCTCCCACTGGTCCTCGCGCCTCAGTCGACGCACCCGCCAAGGAAGAGACGCCCGATGTCGAGATGAAGGACGAGAGGCAGAAGCCAGAGGACATGGACGACGACATGTGGGAGATGCTGAAAGTCATGGGTTTTGGAGGGTTCAAGTCAACAAAGAACACCAAGGTGCCTGGAAACGACAAGAACTTTGGAGTCAGGAAGGACAAGCAGCTGCAGGCCAGACAGTACATGAACCGACAGGGTGGATTCAACAGGCCGCTATCGCCTAGCAGGAGCTGATGAGGGGTGGCGACACGAGACTACTGTATATTATACTATATTCTCAGTTGGAGGATTCATGAGCTTTCCATTGAGGGGCTGTCCTGAGGACAATGGCATGCCACCTGACTCTCTACATTCAGCATACCATGCTCGATGACGACATTCGACAAGGACTACGGATACGGGATGCTATGGGATCAGGATACTTGTACTTGAGACAGAGCCGGTCAGGGTATGGCGCCTTCTTTCCTTGGTTATCTTTAACATGGTTCTTTCGCAGTCTGACCAGAACAAAGGGAGGATGAACGCTGCTAGACTAGGACAGCTGTCACTGGCAGTGTGGAAAGGTTATGGAAGATTCATCATATGAGTGCAGCTCGAAAGATTGCGAGTCCGACTACTAATACAACATTTGCCGATAATCCATCTCTCTGTTTAGTGGCATGTCCACAACAAAGAAGAAACCACATGCATAGAATTGTTTTCACTACTTATTTTCAGTACGATGGTGAATTCTGACCATGTTCGCGACATCAAGATGACTGAACACTTGGGAAAGTTATATGCAGAAGGGACTCTCTCATTCATCCAATCAGAGGCAGTTGCGGCCGCGGTCGACTCGTCGCGCTGATCCGCGTGTCCGCGAAATGTGTCCCAAACCCCGCGAACTTGGAAGCTCCAGTTCCAGCTCCAGCTTCGCATATCACCATGATGTACGACAGCAGGCATGGCTCCCTATGGAAGGGGCTGATGTGCCTTTTGACATTGAGTCAATTGCCTCTTGTGAGCGCGCAGGTCGCCGAGGTCGAAAAGGCCACCAATGCCAGCTTACTATGGGGACCTTACCGACCCAATCTGTATTTTGGTGTCAGGCCGCGGATACCCAAGAGTTTGATGGGAGGTTTGATGTGGACGCGGGTTGAGGACTATCAGAGCGTGCAGAGTAGTAAGTCTGGCCATTTCTAACTTCCATGAAAGGCGACTGCTGACTTGACAGACTTCCGACACACATGCGAACAACACGAGCTTGACGGCTATGGTTGGGATGAGTATGACGTACGCAGCGGCGGCCGACAGACGATTCACGACCCTGCCAACAAGATTGACATCACCACCGAGTTCATCAAATTCCCAGGCGGAGAACACGGCGGCAGTTGGGGTGCGAGGATCAAAGGCACACCGCGCGAGGACGCCGGGCCAAACCTACGGACCACAGTCCTCTGGTACAATACGCTTGAAGGTCTGGGAAGCCTGGAAATCGCAGATGCGGACCCAGAGGAAAAGGGCATCCAGGGCGACGTCGTCCTGAAGGGACAGACCAACGAACTGGGCGACTTCGAGGTCAGAATCACTGAGGGCAATGGCAATCACCCAGTCACCAACCATCCGAGCTACGATGATAAACCGCTGGATCGAACATTGGCACATAGTGGACAAGTCCCTATTGAGGCGCTATGGCAGGTCAAGACCATGCTGTTTGCACACATGAAAGGCCAGATAGATGTCTTGGTCCAGAAGTGGGGAGAGGAGAATCCCCCGCCGCCTGCCCAGGTCTACACAATCCAGCATCTGCCTGGCCAGGGAAACATGCACTTGGTCCAGAAGGTCTTTGAGGGTCCTTTCGAGTTTGATGTCATCTTTTCGTCTGGCTCTGCACCAACTAAGATTACGTCTGAAGACTTGACTGTACAGATCGACTCTGTCACCTCGGGCTTCTCAGCACGCTTTACAGACATCTTCAAGCCTCAGGCTCCCTTTCTCAAGGAGCGCTTCGACGAGTTTTCAAAGTCTCTATTCTCCAACCTCATCGGCGGTATTGGCTACTTCTTTGGCGACTCTCGTGTGGATCGCTCTTATGATCCCGCATACGAGGAGGACAGCGAGGGCTTCTGGGAAGAGGCTGCTGAAGCGCGTGCCAGGAACCAGGCACAATTCGAGGGGCCTTCAGAACTATTCACCGCTATTCCCTCGCGGCCCTTCTTCCCTCGAGGCTTCCTCTGGGACGAAGGCTTCCACCTACTGCCCATCATTGACTGGGACGCTGACCTTACTCTTGACATCATCAAAAGCTGGTTCAAACTCATGGATGAGGATGGCTGGATTGGTCGTGAGCAGATTCTTGGTCCTGAAGCTCGTAGCAAGGTGCCTGAGGAATTTCAGGTTCAATACCCTCACTACGCCAACCCACCGACACTCTTCATGGTCCTCACTTCGTTCCTCGACAAGCTCGACGCTGTGAAGACAGACACCAGCAGCGAGAAGCTACAGCAGGAGAAGTCCTACTCGTTGCAACTGTCAAACCGTGAAGCAGCACTAGAGTACCTTCGCTCCCTCTACCCATTGCTCAAGCGCAACTACTTCTGGTACCGCAAGACGCAAGCCGGCGACATCAAGAGCTACGACCGCGAGGCCTTCTCTACCAAGGAAGGCTACCGCTGGCGTGGACGCACACCTGCCCACATCCTCACATCCGGCCTTGACGATTACCCGCGCGCCCAGCCTCCTCACCCGGGTGAGCTACACGTCGATCTCATCAGCTGGATGGGCATGATGACACGCGCCATCAAACGCATCGCAGTTTACCTCGACGAAAAAGACGACGCCGCCGAATTTACCCGCTACGACGAAGCCATCGTACGCAACATTGACGACCTCCACTGGTCCAAGAAGGACAAGACATACTGCGATGCTACAATCGACGACTACGAGGAACACGTGCTCGTCTGCCACAAGGGATATATTTCCCTATTCCCCTTCTTGACAGGCTTGATGGACAGGGATAGTGGGAAACTAGGCGATATTCTCGATCTCATCGAGGACGAGGAGCAGCTGTGGAGTCTGTATGGTATCAGAAGTCTGAGCAAGAGCGACGAGTTTTATCATACTGCCGAGGATTACTGGAGGGGTCCGGTTTGGATGCCGATTAATTATTTGGCTGTTTCGCAGTTGCTCGTAAGTTCTAATCCTTCCTTTTCTCAATCCCCAGTCAGGTTTTGGTATAATGCTAACCATATCTTTTTCTTCTTTCACAGAATCTCGCACAAACACCCGGAAAGTACCAAACCCGCGCTACGAAGATGTACACCGCGCTCCGCAAGAACCTCGTTGAGACGGTGTATGAGAGCTGGAAGGAAACGGGCTTCGCGTGGGAGCAATACAACCCCGAGACTGGAAAGGGACAGAGGACACAGCACTTTACCGGCTGGACGAGTTTGGTCGTCAAGATTATGGCTATGCCGGATCTGAGTGATGGTGCGGAGAGGGCGAGGGATGAGTTGTAGATTGGGTGGATACTTGTAGTCATGTGTTTGCCGCTAAAGGAAGCAGGGGTCTTGAGATGTGTGTATATCGTATATGAAACCCCGGCTGGGCAATGGAGTGGATTATTTTTGTGGGTCCAGTACCACATTTCGAGAGGCTGCCATGTGCTGTTACAAAAATGAAATAGTCGGGGGTAAACGTTCAAAGCGCGTCACTTTACAGTACACTATCTGACCCAGTATACGTTTTCCTTTCTTGAGCTTTGCCGGATACAACGTTACTTTTACAGCATGAATACTTATGCTTTGATACAGCGACAAGCATACAGGGTGCACCGACACTCGTTTCTTACCTCGCTGTATTCACCAAGGTGCGTGGCCAAGTGAGCATCTAAGGCTAACTTTCGACGAGAGCTAGTGAGCTTCAACCAAGTATGCAGCATCCGCACGAGCTTGTGTCCAGAATTGATCTTGCCTCGTTTAATGCTTTCATTCATCCAGGCGAAGAACACGGTTACGTCTTGCTTGCGTTGCCCTTCTCGCAACCATCTCTCAACAAGTTCCATCAACGCAGCTACACAGTGAATTAGTATATAAAAGGGGATTGAAACATATAGTATGACCGAACGTAGCCTCTCACACCTGGAAATAGTAAGGCTTATCCATTAGTTAGAGCTTTGAAGTGCTGTATCTTGCTTTGGTACAGTTATGATTTTAGGTCAATGGCCGTGTTCATCATGAGCTGAATGATGCCCTGTAGTTGCCCTGCATCTGCAGTTTGCCAATTTTCACAGAGATCTGATCGCCGAGGATTACAGCTGATCCGTTGTATACGTTCGAGTCGTCGTCAGTAAACCATGGCGTTAGAGACATGTCGTCAGCCTCGCCGGCGACCGTATCGTCAACCTCGTTGGCAGCCATGTCGTCAACATTGATTACAGCCGTCTTGGACCGTGTAATGGCCCTCAAGTCATGAACATGCTTGTTGAACCCTATCACTGCCACTGGCTTCGCCACTAAGAATAGTCGTTAGTGGCGTAGTAATAAGGATAGACGGACCTTACTCAATGAGGCCAACCAACTCACCACCTCACCAACTTGCAAAACTTCCTGCCGACGAGCTAGAAGCCGGCCCCAAAGCTAATACCATGACACGCCCAAAAATATCGGTGACGCGTGTGTCGATTAAAACAACATCGATGCAGAAGTGGTCCAAGGGTACGATTGTCTAAGTGAGGGCAATGCTCTATTACGCAATAACCAGTCTTCTGGTCAAATTCACATTTGGATTTTGTGATACTCCTTCATTTAACTAAGTCTAGGGAGAAAGTCGTTTTGGGCGAAGGAGCAGCGGTGAAGCAGTGTCTACGAATGTTGAAGGAGGTCATCTCACCCTTGGAGTCGCTATTATCGTTCACTTTGCTGCCGCCGGCTGCTACGGTATTATGGGAGAAGGTATTGCATACTTCTCCTAGAATTGATGAGGTGTATCGGTCTCAGGCCGCGATGGTAGGCGCGACCAGTGGGGTTGGTAAGGGTGGTGCCTTCCCAAACATACACTCTCGTCGTACATAGATCATGGCGATTACGTACATGATGAGTCATAGGTGGTGGCTCTCATTCAAGAACTGATTTGACTACAGCAATCTGAAGATCTTTTTCGCCTGATGTATGGTCTTGCTCGTAGAAACTTGCTCAAAGGAGTGCGCCACGATTGTCTGCTGCATCACATACCAACCTCAATACCTGTCTGGCTGTGCATCAGCACAAGATTACTCGTATATCTTTTACACGGCAATGCTATCAATTTTCCGGGTCGTGCATTATGAGTCGCGGTCCTCGCTTGCACTTCAATCTATACGCATGGTCTACCCGGGCGCTACCATCACCGATGCAGTACCTCAAAAGCAGACCGAGACTCGCAGCTGTAGGGCAGGCTTCCAATGCGATTATCCGATTTGGTGATATATATAGCCCCTCTTCTGGCCGAGGAGCGCTCCACGGCACTATGCCAGAGACCCTTGAGCACCTCACGACTTGTGAATACCTTATCGCCAAAGAGAATCCGCCTGTTAGGAAGTAGCAAATATATGCTGTATTTATCACCGATCAGGGTAGCGACGACGTTGTAGTCGCATATATCGTGGACCACATTGACACCATACACGACACGAGGGGTTGTGACAATTTCATCCAGGCCTGCTGTATGTGGCCCGCGATGGTGTTTATCCAGAGTTCTCGCTATATTTGTTACTAAGCTCGATATATATATATTCGGCGATGGTCAAGGCGATGACCTCCCAACGTGTAGATTCTCTCAAAACGAGTACGAAAAGTACCCTTGCACTTTCAGGAACTCTACTTCAATTGTGCACACAACCTATCTTCATGCTGGTGTAGTAGTCATGGGAATGTAGGGGTCTTTGGTAGAATTAATTTTAGGTCATGCGGGGAATCCAAGGGGACTCATCGTTCATCGCAATACTGCCCTACGGTTCCGTGATGCCACTGGCAATATTATGAGCTAAAGTGTTTACTAAGTTGCATTATCCGAAACATACATAAAGTAGATGTACCTGTCTACTAAAATGACCAAGGTACTCTCATCTTGTGCAAGAGCTGTAGCTCTAAAGTTACATCAAGATAGCGCATATGGTTTTATTCAAGATAACGTTGGACTGAAAATAGATGAAACCGTAGTTCAAAAGGGAAGTTTATTCACGTAAAAAGTGTGGAAATAAGCGTGCTTAGAAAAGGCGTTGCGGGCCGTAACTTTCTTTAGTAGACTTTTTGTTGGCGCGAACCTTGCTGACGGGATAGATAGACTTTGACAGATCTTGATCCTTCAAATTACAGTCGTTGGGCGCATGGGAGGCCTGTTTGCATATCTTGCATATGCTTTGGTGCTGATGGAGTCTTATAATCGAATGTGCGCTTGAATTATCGTTCATTCCTATACCCGGCGATATCGCAGAGTAGACATGTCGTCACTTTTGGACAAAGTACATGCTTTGCGTTCTACTTCCAAGCTCTTGCAATCATATTCTTCTGGCCTTGTAGTCCTCTGTGAGCACCCTGGATGATCTCTAAGTGGGTCAAGTCGAATGTCACTGATGGTCTGCATCTCTCTAAACAGCAGTGTTGGGTGCACGGGATGCCTTTCTCAAAGACATGGAAGAAAGCCGATGGACTAGAGCAATCCGATGTCCAAGTGTTCCCGAGCGGAATTCCGAGCGGAAGGGAAGCCGAAGTAAATCATGACCATATCGGAGCCAACAATGACAGCTCAACATCGGGGGCCAACATGAATCATGTCAACTCCACGTCGCCGCTTTGCCCTGCATAACGAAAAGACTTTCTTACTCATGCTGCTGCCCGCCCCAGTCGCCACCCCCAGCTCCCAACTCGGATATCCGCAATAAAAAAGCCGCGGGCAAAGAGCCGCAAGGGCATTCTGCACCTCAACTCCACTGCAACCCTCCACGTCACCCGCAAAAGCTTCGGAAAAAGCTCTGCCTAACGGCCCGTCTCGGTCTCATGGAGCCGCACCCGTGCTATGCAACGTCACTGAAGGCCCATGACGTGCCTCTAGATCCAACGACGCCGAAACACGTGCTCAGAAGGGCGCTTGCACCCCAGCGCGGCCCCCCCATCGCTTATCTCAGCCTTGTGCTGCTTCGGCATCGTCACGGCGACGCGATGACATCGTCACACATGGCCATGAATGGGACTTGGCGACGGCGACGACGGCGATATGCATCAAGCATCGCCATTCACAAACCCATAGAATCCTGGTTCACGAGCCTTGCCATGACCCATTCGCGCCGCGGACAAAGCAAGATGCGTTTGTGATCTGCAAGGCTGCGACGCTCTAGCCGTCAGTAGAGTTATCGGCTAAAACGAAGTTTTGGACGATAACCCCTACACACAGGGCCCTAGGCGGACCTTTGATAAAGTGATGATGATGATGATGATGATGATGACTTTGCCAGAAGATGGGGTACGGTAGTCCGTATCATACTGTACAAGAGAGAGTACTAGGCAAGGCAAAAGACTGGGTGATGAAACGTCATACAAGCATTGTAAAGTTTTTGTGAGACAAAAGCAAAGAAGAAATAAGACGCACGCGTTGAAAGTCTTGTGATGCTTGATGCTTGAAAGGTCCGGCGCGACACCTCATACGTATGAGTTTGGGGCCTGGTTTGAGCGCCTTGTTCCGCAACTCTTCCCCATCGAATGGAAGAACAAAGTCACGATAACGGTTTCTCTACCTGACACACTCAACGTCCACGTAGTTTAACCCCCATGTTGTCCTTGGCAATCATACACGTAGTGTACTGACGACAACTACTTACGACGACAACAAGGACATATACCAGAAGAAGAAACGCGACGCGCCGCAGACATGGTGAACAAGCCAATACCTCTTGCTCTATCGCGACCCAGATACGTCTGAGCCTCCGTTGCGCGCACGCGGGTCCGTCGCCCACATGATTCCGCACTAGGACGGTAGTAAGACCAACATGCGTGCCCCGTTACGTACATATGTCACCTAGCCCAGCCTAGCCTCAAGACCCACGCAAACTGTGGATACGAGCATGCAAGCTCCAAGTACGAGGAGCGAAGCATGGCTTGTGGTGGCCTGCAGGCGCGTTACGGAGGCTCGGCACGCTTAATTTGCGCGCTAGAGATGGGGGGAAGAAGGGGGGGAGGGGATGGCTGGCTTATGGCCGGCGAACCAAAACAAGGCCTATTCGATCCCGAGATGAAGGTCAGAAAACCCACCTCATCAACATCGTTGGCTACTGAAAAAGACCCATCAAGACCAGTATAGCAAATGTATATCGGTCTTCTTTCCGCATGTACACGCAAAAATAGGAGAGACTAGTTAGCCTCATTCCCTCACTTTCCCTTTTCCGCATCGAATTCTTCCGAAATCGAATTATCGAACATATGAGTTTTTTTTTACTCGAAATTGGCATTGCCCTTTACGTACGGGGGGTATCAAGGGTAGGGAGGAAAAAGGGACGGGCGCGGAGGTCACGCATCGCGGCATCGCGATCTTGGCTTAGTAGTAGGAGTGACATGTCAACAGACGATCGCGAAGGCGCTTATCAATATTGCCCTTTTCGCTTTGCGACGGCTACTGACTGCCGATGGTTACTGCGACGACCCTGTCTCTCACACTATCTTCGTCTCACAGCAGCTTGCCTTTGCGTGATTGTCCCAACCATTCTTTCATCACTGCAGGCTTACGCATCCTTACACCGCACACACCCATTGACGTGTATGATTATATTGCAATGCTGCGTGTTACCCTGCCGTCTACAACATCAACGTAATCAAGACTTCTAATCGTAAGTCCCGCAAATCTGCCCGAACGCCAAGTATTGGCTTCGAGATTTTCGGCCCACCCAATCACCGAACGCGGGACGCCTTATTGGCCGCCGTCTGTGAGGTGTACCGATATGTAGAAGCGAGCTGGCCAGATGAACAGCCACCGGGCATACAATTCCTATTGAAGATAGAGTGCTGATAGTTTATTGAATACAAACAAACGTTGAGCGGAGAAATATTTCCGCAAACGCTGTCAGGGCGGTCAAGTTGATGGTTCTTCAAATGTAGCATAGGCATAGGCAGTCACACATCACGATCGTAGCAAATGGTAGAATTGTAATTGAGATAATGAAATTATGCTTCTTGGTATACGTGAGAAGACTAACAGAGACAGTGATGAAAAATTATCCTTTCTATCGAGGAGGGCTCATCAAACCCATACTAATATCCAAAAAACATCGCATCATGCTACATTCAGCAACACATCTAATCATCATCCTCATCCTCAATGGCACGGGGAGCAAGGACGTAGCGGGTTGTTCCGTGCTTGTCCTTGCCATGCTCAAGAGAGAGCTTGCTGAGAGCAGCAATCATGTTCTCAATCGCAGGGTTCTTGCGACTGCGGTCCTTGCGGCCGAGAGTGTCGAGCCACTCAATGCGGTTAAGCATGTAGTAGACAATGGCGATGATGATGGTGACACCAATGGAGTAAGCCCAGATGATGACAACGGTAACAATGTCGACCCAGCCGTTCTCGCGGAACTTGGAGTTGTTGGTAGGGGGGTTGGTCTGGTAATCAGTGCCAGACATCCATCCGAACAGGGTGAAGATGGTGGCAAGAGCGTCGACACCGAGAATGGCAACGATGAGCTGGAACGAGGGGAAAGTCTTGCCACCACGGGTAACGAAGATGAGCCAGTTCTCAGTGAGGGCGACCTCGAGGAAGAGAATAGGCTGGATAGCACCAAAGTTCTGGATGATACCACCGTTGGGGATGAAGAGCGTACCGCGGATGACCCAAGTGCCGAGAGCAAGAAGGAGACCAAGGATGACGGAGATGAACCAAATCTTGGGCAATTGCCATTCGACAGGACGCTGCTCAGAGTGGGCGTTGTCGTAGGCAACGGCGACGGTAGCCAAATCAGCGAAGAGGGCGAGGAAGACAATGAGCTCAGCGCGGATAGTCTCGTTGAGGATGATCATCGAGGTGACGAGGTAGACTTCCAAGTGGAGGCAGAGCGCGATACGGTACTGGATGTAGGCCTTCATACGCTGGAAAATCTGGCGGGAGGTCTTAATGGCCAAGACGATGGTGGAGAGACCAGGGGCAAGGAAGACGATATCAGCGGCAGCCTGGGCAGCCTCGGTGGAACCTTCGACAGCGATACCGCAGTCAGACTTCTTCAGGGAGGGGGCGTCGTTGACACCGTCACCAGTCATGGCAGTCAAGTGACCACGCTGTTGGAGCATCTCGACGACCTGGTACTTGTGCTCGGGGAAGACTTCAGCGAAACCGTCGGCGCGCTCGACAAGGTCGTGCTGGGTAGTACCGGTAAGACCGCCGTGGATGAGCTTGGAAGAGTTGTAAACCTTGGTACCGAGAGCAAGCATCTTGCACGTCTCCTTGGCGATGGCAATAGCGTCACCAGTCAACATCTTGACGGGAACACCGAGCTGCTGAGCCTCAACAATGGTCTGGGCAGTATCCTCACGAGGGGGGTCGAACATGGACATGAGACCGAGAAGGATCCAGTCACCGTCGTTCTTCTGGTAAGCGACACCGAGAGATCGGAAACCACGGCGAGCGAACTCAGCGGCCTTCTCCTTGTAGAGGGTAGCGGTGATCTCATCGCAGTTGGCGAGGTTGACGATAGCCTTGGGGGCACCCTTTGCGCAGACGTACTTGTCACCTCCCATGTGGCAGACGGCAGTAATACGCTTGGAGACGGGGTCGAAGGGAGTGAACTTCTCGGTGCGCCATCCCATGTTGAGGATCTCGCGGGCCTTGGGGTATCGGCGGATGGTGAGAATGGTAACCTTGTCGATGGGGTCGAGCGACTTGAGGTTGTGCGAAGAGGCAAGCGCAGCGACGGCCATCATCCAGTTGACATCCTGGCCCTCGGCGACGTAGGGCTCACGAAGAGACAGTTGGTTGGCAGTAAGCGTACCGGTCTTGTCAGAGCAGAGAACGTCGACACCGGCAAGAGACTCAATGGCGGTGAGCTTCTGGACAATAGCCTTCTGCTCAGCGAGGTAGGCAGCACCGACAGCGAGGGTGGTGGTGGTGACAACGGGAAGACCGACGGGGACACCGACGATGAACATGATCAAGGCGTAGTGGAGGAGGGTAACGGACTTGTCAGTTCCAGCGCGGTGAGTGGCAATGGGAATGTGACGGAAGAAACCACCAATCCAGGCGAGGAGGATGAAGAACATGACAAGGACGAGAAGCGCCGTTCCGATGGAGTTCATGATAGCCTTGAAGTGACCCTGGTCCTGAGCGCCCTGAACAAGGGTGGCAGTGCGACCGACGAAAGAGTGCTTAGCGGTGGTGATGACGATACCGTAGGCCTTGCCGCGCTTGCAACCAGTGGTGTAGTATGCGACTTCTCCCATGTACTTGTCGACGGCGAGAGACTCTCCGGTGATGGACGATTGATCGCAGGCAACGAGAGGGTGGCCCTGAGTAATGGGGTTCTCCTCGTCAAACTTGTCCTCATCGACTTCGTCATCCTTCTCATCCTCGGGGTCAGCGTCGTGGAACTTATCCTCAGCCTTGAGCTTCATGTAGAGCTCGAAGTCCTCAGGGTGGTCATAGCCGCAGATAAGACGGGCATCACCGGGGACGGTCTGACCCTCCTCAATGACGACGATATCACCGGGAACAAGCTCGCGGGCGAGGATAGTCTGTTGCTGGTTGTCACGAACGACGACAGCCTTCATGGCAATGTCACCCTTGAGCGAGGCGACGACATCGGCAGCCTGCTTCTCCTGGTACCAACCGACAATGGCGTTAAGCAACAGGATACCGCAGATGACACCGAAATCAATCCAATCCTGGAGACCGGCGGCGAGAAGAGCAGCGAGCTCCATGACTATTTGGTATTAGGTTTGCGCTAAAACAAGTTTCTTGCAGGGATGTGGCTTACCGTAAAGAATGGGACCAGTGAAGTAACCGAGGAATTGCTTGAGAAGGTTCGTCTTCTCAGACGAGATTTCGTTGAACCATAGCGCTTGCGACGCTCCTCAACGTCGTGCGAGGAGAGACCAGTTCGGAGCTCAGTGTTGAGGACTGTGATAGTGTGTTAGCAACATGTTTGCAAGGGAGAAAGCTGATTTCGGAAGCTCATTTCGGGAGGTGCAGAAGCGGGTGGTTTGGTGGAGTCGGCCTGCATGAGGGACCCACCGCGCCTGCCGCTATTGCTTCGCTAGCAGGGGAAGAGCTTAAGCTCGGGCCTCTCTGCAAGCCAGCCACCGATTGTTTCGATGGAGCTCGAGAAGGTGTGCCGGCTGTTTAGTGCTCGGGGTGATGTGGTGCCATGGGAAGAAATGGCAGGCCATTTGTTGGTACAGATGACAAAATGGGAGGGACTTACACTCTTCAGGGACGGCGCCAGGGTCGGCAACGGCAGCAGCAGCGGTAGGGGAGCCCGACTTCCAGAATTGCCACCAGGCCTTCTTCTTGACCGTCTGCTCGGCGTGGGGGTTGGTCTTGCTGTCGCGGTAGAAGAGAATGTACTTCTGGAGGGCGGTGTATTCGTCCATGCCCTCGAACTCGGTCATGGAGACGATCGACTTCTGCCGCTCAGCGGCTGAACTGGCGCGAGGACGCTCTGGATCCTCGTTGGGCGCCATGGTGAGGGTATTAGAAGAGGCTTGCCTCCTGGGGGTATTATTAAGTCGGGAAAGTGTTGACACAGAGAAGGCTTCCAAGGCGACCAGACCGTGGAGTTGAGAGAGCCGTCGAGTCGAGTCGAGTCGATTATTTGCACTGTGCAAGGTGAACTGCAAGCAAGGCCTTCTCTGTGAAAAAGAGTAGAGGAGGGCGGGAGAGGCTCTGGTTAAGTAGCGCGGCAGAAGGCCTCTTGCGTATCAACCAGGGAAAAAAACTTAGCTAGGACCGACCTTTGGCCGCTATGAGGGATTTATGATTGTCATGGCGCTAGGCGCAAAGCGGACATAGCGCGAGCCGAAAGTCCCGGGGGCATTTTGTTGTGATGGGGCGCCATGGGGCCGTGCGGGAGCCGCTACATCATCGGCGCAGTGTTGCAAGCGGAGATTGGCCGTTTGGCGCTGCTGCGTTCACCGGCCGAGGCGAAAGCTCGCTGTTCGGTGCGGGAATGGCTTGGAGACGCGCAGATGACGCTTTCTTACGCAGCGCGTCCAGTGTCCAGCATTGAGCAGCAGTCAGTGCATTGCAGTCTGCACTGCTCTCCGTAATCAGAGCCCTATCTCGACATGCAAGTCGAGATGCGCCCTTGATTCCATCGCCCCAACTAAGTCAACGGAATTTGTGACATCCCAGCGAAACCATGCCAGCCACGCCGTTTCCAATTCACAATCCCCTGCTATTGTTTGTCTCGCGACTCGCAAACTCCACCGCGGCACCTGAGATTAAGCTGGAGATAGCGCGACAGTCCGCGACAAGCGTGCTGCCGGTGCAGGGATGGCCGCCCATGACGTTTTGCCAGCCACGCCCTGCTAACCCACCTCCTTCACTGCAACCTTCTGCCCACCCCCAGACTCTCACACGCACCCACGCCGCCGCACCAAGCTTCTACTCTCAAAGATGCTGCAAAGCTTGGTCATGTCTTGGCCATCTAGCCATGCTGCCTACGTAGAACCATGGATGGCGAGGCATTTTCCGGCCCACAACTCCCGTACGAGACTTGTCTGCCCACACACACACACACACACCTTCTCCCCACGCCTGCGCGACTTTTTTGCATGCGAAGCATTTGCCATGTGCACAATTTTCTTCTAGCCGCCTTCCAGACCCACGGCGCACAATTGTCCATCCACGCTCCGTAGGCCAGTAATATCCCATACCCCCCATGTCCTGTCTCAATGCAGCAGTATCATCATCTTCTGCCCCCCCGCGTATTGGAATATCCCTAGATAGTTACCCAGACAGGCACCGCAACAATGCACCGCTTCTCCATGCCCATGGTGTGCCTACGCACGCGCCAAGGGGTTCTTCTCGGCGCGTGCTTACATACAGTAAACAAGCCGGCGGCCAATGTTAATATTGCTATATTGCCCGACTCGCGCACGCGCCGCCGTATGCGTCGCCAGGCCAACCACGCTCTTATCCTTTGTTGTATTCCCATAGCTATAGTTGCAAGTCATGGTGTTGTAGCACAAGGTCCGACTCGACAAGGCTCAAACAGCGCCGTTGACCTCTAAACCACGGACGCTGGACGCGGGAGTCCAGGGTCTTGAAAGGTTCGCGCAAATGCAAACTCGCCGGCCCCTTGGTTCGCAGCCTGCCCGCCGGCCTGTCTGGCGTCTCGCGTCTCGCGTCTGGCCCGGCTGCAAGGCTGCCGCCGCCTGAGGCGAAAATACTCGCATTTCCAGACCCCAAGAGGCCTTCCCAACAAGGAAGCCCGCGACCCATAAATCACGTGATGTTGATTCTGACTGCCGATGCTTCGCCGGCACCCGTGTGAGCCTCACCGCATCGCTCCCAAGAAGGTCCAGCGTGCGGGAATAGTCCTCGCACCCACACAATCATCACCCACCCGCAGCTTTTCTGCCGACGCCAGCCTCCATGTCCGCTCCGGCTGCTGAATCGCTATCCCTCACCGGTGTCGGTCCGCGCCAGATGCGTCCGTCGCGAGGCCATGCTTCCATGCCACCAGAACGTTTACCTGTCGAAATATGGCATCTGATCATCATGTGCCTAGACGATCACTGTTTCGCCTGGTTTGTCTTGCGACAGACATGTCCATTTCTCAACCTTGTTACCGAGCAGGTCTTTGCGCGATACGTTTCGCGTACTTGCACCGTACGATTTGCCGGCCAGACACTAGGAAACTTGCTGTGAGCCGTGTTTCAACCCGCATCGTTCGGGAAACTTTCACTCACCATCACAGTGCACATGATCTACAAGGTGATACCGGTGACCGTAGACAAGTCCCTGCATCGCGACAGGCACTGGTGCGACAACATGCCTCGCCGGCCTCATACTGGGCCTCAGTCAGTCGCGCCCAGCCTCCATCGTTTCGCTTCCAGCCCTCGTCTTTTGTCCCCGCCACCACAAAGGCCAAGCTTCTCCTCAAACTATGTGATGCGCCAAATGCTCACGAGACACTACCCGCGTCCCAGCCAAATGCAGGGACCATCGACACTACCACGACCCTCGTCCATGTCTTCTTCCAGCCCGGTGCCAAAGCAGATGCCGAACGCTCGCGCCTACTCCATCAAGCCCATTTTGTTCTTTTTCATGGCCAACTAAAGAGTATGCGCCTCCCTTCAGCCACCTTCAACGTTGCTGATCGCCACCTCCAACTCGATTGGCGCCGTCTCTGCAATACCTTTATGCGCGACGAGTTCAAGTGTCGTTACGAGTCTCAATATTCCGTCGCGTGGTGGAGAAACTTCGATTGACCCAATCGCGACTAGATGGCATGCATAATTTCCCCTCTGAGTAGCCCAGCACAAGCAATTCATCGTCTTTGCACCTCGAATTCGTTCCTGATGGCCTGCCAAGCGGCAGATCAATTTTGCGTCAGCGCCGAATCCGAATAGATCGCCCTTGGCACTAGGGACTACCCTCACCAGTGCTCACCACGAACACCCTCCGAAAATCCGGAGGTGTCGGCTGTGGCCTCTTCATCTCCGCCTGGGCACTTTGCTGGACGGTCGGATCATCATCATGCTTAATTCTCCATATTCCAGTTTACAACTGTTTGAGTTACACGGAGAGTGCCCAGCTTTTCCAAGTACCGCATCGAGTGCGTGATTTAGCGCCCACCTTGGCCTCTGCCAATCGCGCATCCTTCCGAGTCATTAATATCTCACCGGGTTGGATTTGTATTGAATATCACACAAGTTATTGCAACTGCCCATTATGTTATGAACTACTCTGCACACGGAAGCTCGGTGGTAATACCGCCCCAGACGTTACATCTTACTGTAAAAGCCCAGCCCTTGGCCCTAGCCCTGCCCAGCCTCCTTCAATGCCAATGAGGACTACTCGATGGCATGCCGCAATACGTAAGCACCGGAAACTCTGTGTAAGAACACAGTTTAATGAATACGACAGCTTGAAGAAGACGCAGCCAAGTATTCCATGTCGTACATATCCCGCAGGGAGATACAGAATCAGGAGGTGCGTAACCCACCTCCGCTGCCAAGTAAAATCCATCTGTGCGGAACAAAGTACCAGCCTGGGCGGAAGCAACCGTGTAACAACCCCCCAAAAAGTCCTTTACCACTCGCCCTTGATCCGTGTGTCCTGTGTTCCTTTCTTTTTCTTTATTCTTGTCACCCGGCAACTGCCACGTCATGTGTGCAGTGTGGTTGCGTGGTGTTGCGTTACGTCTACATTCTACGCCTACACTAAAACGCTGAGAGTGACTTGTCAGACCCATATCATTCGTCGTGGCTTCTACCGTTTACATGGTAGACTTGTTATGCACGGCAGTCGCGCGATTCATGGGTCTTGGGGGAACTTTACCGGTAGGGTACCGCATTTTGTTACCTAGATAGTTAGGCGGTCCCCATAGTTAAGCGGTCCCATGTATACTTACATGTCTTTCTGGGCACGCCGCCGCCGCCGCCGCCGCTGGCTCTACGCAAGCTGGGTTCGCCAAGCTTACCCTCCGCTGTGCCCTGCCTAGGTACACTTTACCTACCTGTTTTCTTTCCACCACCGGGTTTCCCCGAGCGAAAGGCTAGTAGATGGGCGGCGGCGAGGAAACGGCATGTCACGAAGCGGCGATTTTTTAGTAATACGTAGACGTAGTTGCGCACTGATGGCAAAATGCTTGTTTATTCCGGGGAGATGGGGGAGATGGGGGTAGGGTGTGGATGAGTGATCCTTTTGTGATGCGGTGTAGTTCACGTAGTGTATTTCTGTCCTTGCCATGCTTTTTTTTTCGCTTGGGGGAAATAAAAGGAGTCTTATCTACAACATTGTTTTCCCCCTGAGCTCTTGAGTTGTTGTTCTGTTGTTCAACGATGTTTCTTGGTAGTCTTGGTAGTGGTGGACTGGTTGAGCATGGTGGTAATTTGTGTTGACATTACGCCTACTTATACTAGGAGAAAAAATCACCACGCCACGCCCCCAACGAAAATCACGACGAAAATATGTGGAATGTACCCCTTTTACGGTGGAGATCCCGATCGGACCCCTTTCCAGACACACGAGGGCGGATTTTTTTTACCATGATATTGTACTACGATTCATCCACGGCTGCGCTGAACAATCTACCCATCTATTTCCACGGCACCAGGCTGGTAAAATACCATCATCAGTACCCAAGGGAAAAATCAAATCTCAACACTCTACCAGAGTCCCCTATGTACTAAATTTAGGACCAGATACGTTTACCAGAACCAATGTTCAGATAACCACTCAGGTGATAGAAGAACGCGCTCACATTCGGTGCCAGAGTAGAATGCGCCCAACGCGCACACATGGAATGCTAGGGACACATATGCTAGAGCCACTGCTATCACGTGTTTTCTTAAGCGCGGGTAGTACGGAAATAAAATAAAAGAGTTCTCACGTTAACACGCATCTTACGTGCGTGAGAGTACAAGTTCACCTAGACTTTGATTTTTTCATTTCAATAAACGCTACTCGTATACGTACGTTTCATGTTACTTCCAACTATATCTTTAATCGAGAATCATAGTCGGAACGGGGCTCGGAATCGCGTTTGTCATGTTTATTCTAGTTGTTTTGTTCTCTGCGTGAAGTGATTATTTATCCCCCCAAAACCATCCTACTATACTAAACCCTCATTAGCCGCGTCTTCTCAGCGCCCCGCATACCTATTAAACCGAAAGCAGCTACATGTATTTTCCTTCGAAAAGAGACGTTCTGATAGTCCGGCTTGTAGTATCCCCCTTCTCTTTTTATCCATTAATCCAATCGCCGCCGTCATTAGCTGCACTATAATACCCCTCCATTCTATCAGAATTACACCGGTAATACACGGATATTCGATTTGGATGTGATAGTTGGCACGGCCCAAATCCGTTATAATCCATATCTGTAAATGCCTAGATTTGATCTTATCGCCATTATAGTTAGTCACCTTTCGTCGCCCCCCTTCCTAACAAACACTACGACTTAATCTCTGTATTAGTTGCGCTTATATCGTTAGCATCTCCTCCCTCTATCCGTAAAAGAGGTGGATTCTAAAGTACTTAATCCTCTCCTACTTCGTTTTCTAGCTTTAGAGTTCACCTCATGACGGCTCGGCATGCGATAATACTAAGAACATAGTTACACTGTAGCATATTCCTGACCATCAGATCTCGCCAGAGTAGAAAGGTAGCTTCGTAGCTCTAGAGGCAGCGGTATCTATTAGTCGTCTCCATGTCAAGAGAGAAGAAGGGAGTGTGAGAGGAGAGAATGGCCATGGTAACGTGATACGAAGAAGACAGAGACACGAGACATGAGAAAAAATAGTGGATTTAGACGGGATATTTACTCCTTTTTGTTTCGTGTTGGTTTTCCATTATGGTGTAGGCAGATGTTTAGTCGTCGATTAGTATCGAACGTTTGATACTCGCTCTGCCCGAGATGGTTGAGTTGGTTATTGGTAGACAATTTTTGCCATCACCCGACAGACTCCGCAACAATCAATCCAGATTGGTCAGATTGATTGATTTGATTGGTCATTTGGAGTTTTTACCAACTCAATCAACTCAATCTAAGCTTTTCAAAATAGCTAATCAAATCAACTTGCGAAGGTCAGATTGATTGATTTGATTAGTTAGATTGATTTATTATTAACGAGTTGTAAGGCGAGTAGTGTCGTATTAAGAGAAGGTTTTTGGTGTTGAAGATAGTTATCTTGGACCCCTATCTCGCTTAGCTTGTGATCCCTGTCGGCCGGGCAAGCCAGTCTCTATGCATTCACTTCTCACCAGCTAGCTCTCCTCTTATAGGACTAGCTCCTTCTGCTTAGGGGCTAGCCTCTTCTAGGCTTCACCCCGCACCTATATAGCTAGTCCTTCGCTGTTCTTAATACAACAACGATTTCGCTCACTCAGTTCCCTAATAATCCCTTTGTCAGATTAGATGAGATATTGCACAAAAGTGATGGATGTTCATGATTGATTGTATTGTTCTCTGTTCTAAGGTGCGCGCTGAGAGTTTTGTTCTGCTAAGACGCTAACCCATTATTAGCTAGCGGTGTCGGCACTTTCGGCTCGACACGCCTGCTATCTGACACACCCCCTCAGCTTGGAAGGCATATTGCAAGCTGCATAAACTGGTTGATCGATCCTACATAATGAGGCCTTCCAGTTGCTCTTGCACCTCCTTAAGCTCAATCTCTCTGAGCGGGGCTTCTTCGCGCTCGACGAGTCCCAGTTGATCAAGGAACCTGGCCCATTTATTGGCTGGCAGTGGCTTTGTGAACCCGTCTGCGATCATGTTGTCAGACGGCACATACTCTACCTTGATCACCTTTCGGGTAACCTCTTGTCGTAGCCAGTGATTGTGTATATCAACGTGCCGAAGTTTTGTTTGAAGTTTGGCTACGTCCTCTGTGACCACAGTCCGCAACAATCAATTAAGTGGGTCCTAGAAGGTTCAGATTGGATTGATTGATTACCGCTTTAAGCCTAGTAGTTACCTATAGGAGTTTAAGCCCTACCTAGATAGGTAAGTGGGTCTAGGAGAGTGACCGGATTGAATTGATTGTTGCGGAGTCTATCTGTGACTAGTCGGATGGTCTGTTGGTTGTCGCATTTGATTGTGATTGTTGGATCGCTCAGAGTTACCCGAAGCTCCCTCAGCAGTCGCGACGTGAATATGGCCTCCTTGGCCACCTGGGAAAGAGCAAGTAATTCTGCTTCCGTGGTTGAAGTAGTAACGGTATCCTGCTTGCTTGCTCTCCAGGAGATGAGGCCGCCAAACAGCTTAATGGCGTAGCCTTGTGAGCTCTTCCTGTCCAGGGTGTTGTCTGCAAATGATGCGTCACTTGCTACTTGAAGACCTTCACCTGTGCCTAGCTCCAGAGCTAGGTTCATTGTCTTTCTTAGGTAGAGTAGTACGCGGTCCGCTGCCTCTTGATGTTCTATGCTTGGATTGACTAGGAACCGAGCGAGGCGCGATGTTGCGAAGGCGATGTCGGGTCTTGTGGTGACTGCTGCGAACAGCAGAGATCCAATCTTGCGTTGGTACTTGCTGACTTCAGCTGGTGCTGCGAGTCCTTTTCGTGGTCGGAGTTCGATGCCTGACATTGGCGTATCATGCCTTACATTTTGGTGGTTGATGAGTTGACTGATTTTGTCGACGTATGCAGCTTGAGATAGCTGTATGGTCTTCTGCTTGCGATTGCGCATGACCTCTACGCCGAGAAACCACTGTAAGTCGTCTCCTCCCGTACAAGCGTATTTTTCTTGGATCCGGTTTATGGCCTTCATTGCCTCTGATTCTTGCTTTGAATGGTACGCAACGATGATATCGTCCACATAGAAGAAGATGATAACTCCGTCCTTGATCATGCAGCATGGCTCCTGTGGTATTTGTTGAAACCCTATCGAAGCAAGAGTTGCGGTGAATTCTTTCTGCCACAGTGATGGTGAGATCCGGAGCCCGTAGAGTGCCTTTTGCACTTTGAGTAGAGTGCCAGGCTTCTGATATCCTTTTGGCATCCTCATGTATATTTCTCTGTCGATTGCAGCATGCACAAAAGCATTAGTGACGTCGTATTGCTTCAGCTCAAGATCGTATTTGGCGGCGATTGCCATGAGCATTCTGAATGAGCGTCCTGCCAATGTTGCTGCATATGTGTCTTGGGAGGTTATGTTGCGTTGTTGATCTCCCCTTACCACCAATCTTGCCTTGCATTTGATGAGGCGGTGATGCTTGTC